CTCTCTCTCTCTCTCTCTCTCTCTCTCTCTCTCTCTCTCCCCCTCTCTCCCCTCGTCTGGAACCATACTGTACACCCCGAGACCCGAGATCCGAGACTGACTTCTGACTTCTGGCCAGCCGCGTATTCGGGATCCAAGGCAGCCGTCATTGCAATGACTCGAGCCGATGCCATCGACTACTCGGCGGACAACATCCGCATCAACTGCATCTGCCCTGGCATCATCGAAACCCCCATGACTATCTGCGACGAGGAGCGTATCCGTCTTCTGAAGCCGGCGGTTGACATTGCACCGATGCGACGGATGGGGAAGGTGGATGAAGTTGCCGACTGCGCCTTGTTTCTGTGCTCTACCCAGGCATCTTTTGTGCAAGGCCACGCTATGGTGGTAGACGGAGGCTATATTATCAATTAGGCCATCGTTCGGTCGGCTGGTACCGCGTCGAAAGAAACCAAAGAAGTATAGCGAGGACCAGCATGCCAGCCTTGCATAACTTTACGGAGTCCCAGCATGCCTGCCACCCTTGCATCACGTCGTCCACTTTCAAACTCTCGCGTAGTACTGCGGTTCGTAGACGGTGACCGTATCGGAGGGGATCACCTAACCCTAACCCTAACCCTAAAAACTCGATGAACAGCAAGGCTTGATGCATTCAGGGCGCCATCAAGCCATTAATGCATCGACATCGATAGGGCTAAGGCTATCGATACGGACAGGGCAAGGGCAAGATAACCCAGGCACATTCTTACTGGTGGCTCGCGGCTCAGCCTGCCGTTGATATTACAGTATTAGTAGGGTAGGAGACTGGATCAAATGCATCACGGAATCGGCCATGCTCGTAACGCGGGAAGAGATCGTGAGGGTGAATGTGCCCAAGGAGAGATATTACTGAGAGAAATTACAGTACATGTCCTATACCAAGGGTGGGGCCAAGGCTGCCTTGCCTGTCTACTATCTAGATAATGTAGGTCCAACTGCGAGCCTAACGCGGCTGCGAACCGCGCGGTACGGTACCACAAGATACCACCAGATTGTTGCCGAATCTTATCATGAAGTCCAGTTCACCTCACCAGCAATGCAATGCATGGTGGCTTCAATAGCCTTGGCCCTGGCCTGAGACCCTGGTCCAGCCGACAGGGCTGGCTTTTGCATAACTACAGGTAAACACGCCCTCCTAGCCACAAGGACAAAAGAGACGTCTCGTCTCGCTCGCCAGAGGAATCTGACTCTGACCCGGATTCTCAGCAACTTTCTACCTCAGCCAAGCGTTGGCAACCCACAGTCACACCCAGTCTTACTCTTCTCGCGGAACTCAGTCAGCTGTCCGAAAAATGGTTCCTCACCGTACCCATGAGGAGAGACAGGCCTCTCTCGAGGCAAGACGGGAGCAAGATAACAATCTACTCCAGCACAAGATTGGCTATCAGCCACGTATGTTTAATGGCCACTTGCCAGGTCGACAGGCTCAGGCTCGGGCTAATCTGACCGCTTTGCAGAACTGAGGCGCACCTTCTCAACCTTTGAGACGTTTGGCCTGGCCTTCGCCATCATGGGCCTCATGCCCAGTATTTCCAGCACCCTGGTGTACGGTCTCCCGGCGGGACCGGCAGGTCTCGTCTGGGGGTGGGTGATTGCCTTGACCTTCATCACCATCATTGCCATTTCGGTGGGAGAGCTGGCTTCAGCAATGCCGACCAGGTTCGTTGTCTCCCCCTCGCCCTGTGAGGTCAGGCCTCTGGTCTCTGGTCTTGTCCTCCCCCCCGAGGTCAGGTCTCTGGTCTCTGGGCCTTAGCCCCCCAGGTCTCTACTCTGGACCCAGTGGTTAATCCAACCCAAACAGTGGCGGTCTTTATTTCTGGACGCATTTCTATGCCCACCCGTCGATCCGAAACCCATTGTCGTTCTTTGTGGGTTATGCAAACACTCTGGGAAACCTGGCCGGCCTGATCTCCACTGAGTATGGAGCAGCAGTCATGGTCTCATCCGTCATCTCCATTGGCAACGATGGGGCCTGGTCGGCAACAACACCGCAGCTCTATGGTATCACGGTCGCCATCCTGGTCTCGCACGCCCTCATTTGCAGCGTGGGCAATCGCTGGCTGGCCAAGATGCAAACCCTCTATGTCATTGGGAACGTCCTCATGGTCATAGTTACATGCATCGGCCTCCCCCTCTCGCTGCCCAGCCATCGACGCAACTCGGCCAAATGGGTCTTCACCCATGTGGAAAATCTATCCAGCTGGCCGGCAGGTTTCACATTCATTCTCTCGTTTCTCGTTCCCGTCTGGACCGTCAACGGCTTCGACTCGGCCGTGCATATCTCCGAGGAAGCCACCGATGCCGCCAAAGCCGTTCCCAGAGCCTTACTCTCGGTGTGCATCTCCTGTCTTGTCTTGGGCTGGTGCTGCATCATCGCCATTTGCTTTTCGATGAATCCCGATGTCGCTGCCATCTATGGCACTCCTTTGGGACAGCCGATGGCCCAGATCTACCTGGACGCCTTTGGAAAGAAATCCACCCTGGCGATTTGGAGCTGCATGCTGGTTCTACAATGTAAGTCATCTATTTCCATCTCCTCTGGACGACACGACACTTGTCTTGTCGAGTTGCTTGTCTAGTCGAGGTTGGTGCTGACACCCGGCGGGGATATAGGGACCATGGGGTCATCTTTGGTGATTTCGGCCTCGCGACAAGTCTGGGCATTCTCTCGTGACGGGGCCTTACCGCTGTCCCGATACATCAAGAGGGTTGGGCGGAATCAGGTTCCCGTCTTCGCCGTATGGACATCAGCCTTCTTAGCCGGTCTGATGGGCCTGTTGGTCCTGATCAATGCGGCTGCCTCGTCGGCGCTCTTCTCTCTCCTCGTGGCCGGCTGCTACACCGCATACTGCGTGCCGGTGTTTTCGCGCCTTGCTTGGGGCAATGCCAAATTCGCGCCCGGTCCTTTCCACACCGGCGTGTGGAGTAAACCCATTGCCGTGACCGCCATTCTCTTCGAGGTCTTCATGTTTCTCGTCTTCCTGTTTCCAGTTGGCGGGCCCGATCCGTCGGCAGATGAGATGAACTATGCAAGTGCCATCTATGGTTTCGTCATTCTCATCACCATCGTCTACTGGTATCTGCCTGTGATTGGGGCAAAGAAGTGGTTCACCGGCCCGAAAACCCACCACAACCCAACACAAGTCGCCGTCGAAGAGATCACCGCCGTCACGCCGTCAGAGCAGAGTCTATATCATCAACCCGATTCGGCCAAAGGCTTCCGATACGAGGGTGAGGTCTGAATGACTGGAAGAGAAGTCGGTGTGGGTGTTGGGGGGTGGGATGATTTTGTCAAACTTAGGCACTAACTTAAGGCATTCTCAGCCTTCCCCTTTAACCAGAAGGCTGGTATAGGCAAGTCTACATAGTCTAGCGCCCCCATACCCTTTTAATAGAGAACATGGGAACATATCAACCTTTGACAATGGCATCTGCTATTAAGGCAAACCTACAATCACTTACGAGGTGACTTGATATTAATACAACGCCGTATTATGACAACAGAACATGGGAGGAAATAACTACAGTACGACCAAGGCTCGGGCTCCGTCAAGGCGGGGTCCGGCTTGCAGTAGGTTTAGGCGGCCGATTCACCGACATTGGGAATACGGAGTAGTGATATAGATATCCGGCAAAGCGCCCTTGTCCACTCTCTCTGGCCTTATTGCTTCGAGTCATTCCGCCCATACTGGACTGGAGGACACCGTAGAGAATGACCGTGTTGAGAATAGTTTCCATCGCGTGTTCAACGCTCTTTCCTACTTACTCGACCAGCCTCCGAGCTGTGGGGATACCGATAGACATGATATAGATATAGATATGGAGGTGGCCATAGACGTGATATAGATATAGATATAGATGTGGAGGTGGACGAAGATGGTCCTCCCTCTTCACATTCACGCCCACTTCAACCCATTACCCAACCAGGATCCTCCTCTTTCCTCTTGTGTTTGTACCAAGATCCTCCTCTTTCCTCGTATGTATAGCATGTTCTTCACAGTCCAAGCGGGTTCTCGGCGTCCTGATCTTTCCCGCCGAAAGGTTCTTTCATCCGTGCGGCTTCCGCCTCTTCTTGCTTCGCCGGTCCGCCTTCGTGGTTTCCAAATCCGACACCAAGTTGTTCGCCCCAACCTTTGCCAGATTTCATCACACCTCCGACAAGAGGATCAATAACGCCGCCAAGAGGTTTGCCAACCGTCTCTAGGCCTTTGCCGGCGTATTTGCCCACTGGAGACAGGGTGTCCTCGATTTTGCCGCCGACGTTGTTGCCGAAATCTTCGGGCTTTGAGACCCAAGAGCCGCCTGCGACACGACAGCCAAGGCGTCAGCATCTACGAGGAAGGAGGAAGGAGCAAGGAGGAAGAACCATCGACATCACCATACCTTGCTTCTGAGGTTGGGCGTTCTCCTTGTCTTCGGTAGAAGGCTGAATGTTCTCTTTGTCTGCCATGTTGTGAGAGTCGGATGAATTCGGTACTTCAGAGAGTGGACGGTCGCTGTTGTCCACCAGAGTGATTCGGTGCTCGCTATCTATACTCATACCTTTTCTTTTCCTTGGGCTTGGGGCAGCAGTAGGCAGAAGATCGCCATGGCGCTTGTCCGCCCGTGCCGAATGAAACGAGCGCCTACATCATCGCTCAGGCTCAGGCCCGCACTGTGGCACTGTTTCGCACTTGCATGTGGCCAGCGGACACGGAGGGACAGGGACAGGGACAGGGATCTTGCCAGGCAATGAAGTGGGAGGAGGAGACCAAGGTTGACGCAGTGGCGCTGGGAGGGAGGGGAACATGACGTCGATGCAGGCAAGAGGCAAGAAACACGAAACACGAAACACAGCCGACAAGACAAACATGGAAAACACAGGAACCAAGAGCAAACATGCCAAGTCCAGCCAGGCCGGGCTTTAGGCGCCTCAGAGCCCAGCCTTGCTGCGGGCCAAATAGGGGGCTTAGGGAGTTTTCTCTACTCTATTTGCGAGCCTGTACAATAGCATTGAGCGCCCTTAAGTGCCTAGGTATTGCGGCCCCGTACGGTGTACGGATACGCAGGGAGAACACGACTTACAGTTTGCACAAGTGACCCGTGGTCGACAGGTCTTCAGTTTTGGTGGCTATGCTCGCTAAGTCAAACTGCAGCCTAAGACAAGCGCCTAAAGTCCCGTCTGAAACACCACGGTTGTCGCGCGGCTCCCAGGCTGAATGAACACCGGCCAGTGCTAGTTTGGGCACAGCCTCCCCAGGCATCCAGACTAAAGAGAACCAAAGGAGGTAAGTCCGAGTCTGCACACTGAGAATCATGATTGCTTTGCATGCTCGGCATCAGGCAAGAGTCTTCCCCAAAACCTTCGTTGGTTTGGGCACATGTACGGATTCCTCATGGTCATCATCAGCCGTCTCAAGCATGCCTTCAGACGTGCTCTCTATCATCTAGCCTGCCATGATTTGCGTCGACTCTACCATCTGCTCTCGAACTATGGCCTGGACTGGCTGGTTCCGAGCCTGAGCCCAATTGTCCCCCTACAAGATCGACTGCCATACCGTTATCATGGTCTCGAGAGCCCTACCCATATCCGTGTCCTTGAACTGCTACCTCCTTCTAACCCCGAAGATGTACTTTGTTTCAAGGTCCATCATGCAGACCTCAATGCCCAGACCGTCAGCTACACTGCCATCTCCCATGTCTGGGGAGACCGCACCGTGCCACAGGACAGGCTCGTCGAGTGTGACGGACTTCGAGCCTACGTCCCGCCCGGTCTCCATTCGGCACTGCGCAGAATCCGAGCCAGGGCCAGTGCCAGTGGTGACAGTGCCGGTGCCAGCCAATTTATTTGGGCGGATGCTCTGTCCATTGACCAGGCGGACAGCGACGCCGGGCGAAGCGAGAAAGCGCTTCAAGTTCGGATGATGGATCGAATTTTCGGCCGGGCTGAGGAAGTGGTCATCTACCTGGGCGAGTTGGACGACGGGGATTTGCCACATCTTTCCACGCTCGACCGATACCAGGCCATTCCCGACGAGGTCTGGGACCGGGTCAACATGAGAGACGTGCAATCCAGCATCGGGGACAGCGTTGCGTTGTTGCCCGGCTTGGATTTGCCCACGTCCGACTCTCCATTCTGGCCCTTCCTTCAACGCTTCATCGGCCGACCATGGTTCACCCGGGTCTGGATCATCCAAGAGTACGCACTATCTCGAGCCCCGAAGTTCATGATCGGTGACCATTTGCGCGACGTGGACTTCCTCCCAGCAGGCATCGCCCGTGCCGCGCAGCATCTGGGCGTGCTGTACTTGCACGACCGATTCTACAGCCCGACACTCCAGCTGGACGGGCTGATCGGCGACGCGTTCTGGTACGTGCTGCGCAAACATCATGCCATCCATCGCATCTACAGTGCGAGGAGCCAGGCTGGCTTTGGGAGGAGTCTGTGCGAGCTGCTGGATGCCACCACCAACTTCTTCGACGCCACCGACGCGCGCGACAAGGTCTACGCTCTCCTCGGCCTCAGCAGCGACGACAACGTCAAGGAAGATCTCCCCGTCGACTATGAAGAGGAGGAGCGGGAGCTCGCCCTCCGCGTCAGCCAGTATCTCAGCCGCCGCGGATTTGGCATCTACCCGCTGTACCATTGTGTCGGGGTGCGCAACGACCGCTCCGTTTCGTGGGCCCTGAACCTCACCAGCCCGGGCGAGGGCCTCGGCGACCTGATCGGCCCGTCCGGCCACACGAGCGGGCGGGTGTTCGACGCGTGCGGCGAGGCTCTCTTTGTGCGCAAGTCGGCCGACCTCCCGCTCGGCAAATACACGGTGCGCGGCTGGATTGTGGACGAGCTCTCGGCCACGGCCATGACTGACAGCCTGCCCTACGACACGGAATTGAAGCACCCTCGCGACATCGAAGCCTACGCTGTATGGCAGGGCCGCGCGCTGCGCTGGATGCTCGACGTCGCCGCCACGCAGCCCGTGCCGCCGGCCGACTTCACCAAGATCTGCTGGCGTACCGTCGTCGCCGACCTGGTCATGGCCACGGGCCGCGAGGGCCACGGCTACCGACGCCTGCGCGACTGGCTGCACGGCGCTCGTTGCATCGACACCGTCGACGCCGTCGTCCGCCTTGCCTACGACAAGTGGACCGGCGCCCTGCCGCCGGAGCACACCGTGCCGCTGGACCCCGTCCAGTTGAGTCATATGCGCGTCTACGGCGAGAGCATGGCCCACGCCCTCGGCCGCAAGCTTGCCCTGACCCGCCAGAATCGCTTGCCTTGCATGGCTCCTTCACATGCAACCACCGGTGACTTGGTCGTCGTCATCCAAGGCTGCGAGATCCCCTTTATACTGAGACGCAGAACAGGTCCAGGCCCAGGCCCAGGGACAGGGACAAGCACCACGTCGACCCCCGACGTCCAAGGCTGCAGTCCACACGACCACGACCACGACCAACACCAACACCAACACCAACACCAACACCTAGGTGGCAGGCAGGAACCAACCGAGACTTTCCGCATCGTGGGCTGCGCGTACGTCCATGGAATCATGGACGGCGAGACGGTCGAGGGCGCCGACGTTCGAGATTTGGAGATTTGCTAGCTGATGATTGATGATTGATTGTGAATCTGGATCTGGGTCTGAATCTGAATTGGGAGTGGACTGGGCTGTTTGACACGTTGGCAACATATGATGGGGCAAGCAGATTACAGTAATTGTATTAGATTGACCCTGGAGGAATTTATATTTGGATCTTAGGGGGTGCCATCTACCATGATAGAACTATACATATTGAAGTATGTATACTGTACCTACTGTCCCTACTGTCCCTACTGTATCTATTACTGTATCTACTGTCCCTACTGTCCCTACTGTACCTACTGTACCATCTGCCGTCTGCTAAAGACGCCACCAGACCTTTGTTGGCTCTCTTGTGCCGTCGCCGTCGTCGTTACGCGGAATCCCTGGGAAGAAAACAACACATTGGCAATGATGCCATTGCATAAATCCATGCCATGCATGCCATGCCTTGCCATACCATACAATACATTTTTGAGTCTCTAATGTGACTGTCTATCCGTATGCCGCAGCAGAATGGGCCCAGTGAACCGCCTCACTACCAGCCAACACCGGCTGGCTCCAGAAGACTTTTGCGCCAAACATGCCTGGCCACTCCCGTGCCGTGCCATTGCTATCCCGCCGTCAACGTCGCTGTTGGTACAATGCCAAACAACAAAAGCTAAAGCTAGTACTTGTCCGTGTAAACCCCGACCGGCCTCGTGACAAAGCGATTGCTTCTCCTTCTCGCCTCATCAGGCGTCGCAGAGCCATGGCCACTCTCGCTCACGTCTCCGGCTGCACTCTCCGTCCCCGGTCCTCTCGACCCAGCCCGCATTTTGGCCTCCAGCACAGCCAGCGCATGATCGCCTGCAGCTCTCGCCAGCTCCGCTTCCCTCAAAAGCCCTTTTCGGCTCAACTCTCGCTCTTCTTCAGGCAGCACAAACCGATGGATGGTGCGGTGGTCCATGACTCTTTCTTCCGGGTCGCCTGCTCCTTCCACCCACGTACCCTTTCCACATCTTCCTTTGCGCCGATACGCACTGTATTCGGTGGCGGCCGCTTTCTTCCCCCGTCCTGAGCGTTCAAGGAGTTTTCGCGGGTCAGGATCGGTCTTGGGCCAGGGAAACCCGTACAGCATGCTGTGCCGTTCACATCGAGGGCACTCGCGCCGGGTCTGATATCCGTTCGGCTGCACAAAAAACCCGTAGCACGTGTCGTTGTGACACTGCACCCAACGGTCATGAGGTTGCGCCAGCAGCTTTCGTGTCAAAATGTAATCTCCTGCAATGCGGATCGTGCCCGTGACAGGATGGACGGTCAATTTGGTCACCGTGGTCGATGAGGTGGTTGGTTCGATTGACGGCAATACACTTGCTTCCATGGCCACACCGTTAGAATCCCCAGATCCATGGACATCTCTGCTGATGGTCGTTGTTGAAAGCGTTGACACAGCGTGTGGTATTGGGGCGTGGGTGGACTCAGGAGGGACCTCGGTGTTCTCAACCTCACTGTCAACACGAAGAAGTTGCTCTGGTACTCTCGCGAAGTCTTGGGGGGACGAGGAAACGACGATGGTATCCTCATCTGCTTCCAGCTTCGTCACTTCCATCGACTCGACCTTGATTGTAATGGCACTCCCACTGAGCGGAATTTGGTGGGTCGAAGCCCCCGCCTCGTTTGCGGATCCGTAACTGGATGGAGATGTCGGGGCCGGTGATATGGGAGCGCGTGAAGAGATTTTTCCAAGTAGTCTAGCGGTCATCTTGCTTTCACGCAGGCCTTTTCGGGATTTGGAACTGCCGGGTGACTTCTGCTTCGCGATCGGCGAGTGGGATAATACCCCCAAAGGTGGCAGTGGTACATCCAGATTCGAGTCATCGGCATCTCCTCGCTCAGTTAATCTCGACGGGCTATGAGGCGGCGAGAGCGTTGTTTCCTCTCCGGACACCAAAGTTGAAAGGGGTTTGACCGGCTCCGACAATTCCCCGACAGCAGTGTCTTCGGTATTGTCGGAGTCGGAGGTACCGGGCGGGGTCCACGAATGTTGTAATTTGGACGGGGATTGAGTAACCTTCAAGTGCTTCGATGGAACAGCTGAAGAAGATTGCGAGGAAGACTCAGACTCCCGTTTGCGTTTCAAACCGCGTGGTTGAAGACTGGCAGCTAGATCTCGCGCAGGGGTCGAGGCGTGGCTCCCAGGCTCGAGGATCGCGGCTTTCGAGGTCCAGCCATTGCGTTCAAGCACTTCACATGTATGGCACAGACAGTCGATGTTGCTAGGGCCAAAGTAGTCGTCGCCATACGAGACAGTGATCTCATCTCCGACCTCGATGTTCTTCATGGCAACCACCTCCATGCCGTCAGGACCCCGTGTCACAAGCCGACCATTGGCGTCACAATCATGATTGGCGAAGCGGGCAGGGCCCAGGAATATCAACGAGTTCTTCTTGCGACTGGACACGACAATGCTGAAGTTGCGATTCGTCAAGTCCAAGTCGGCCGATTCTTCCGTGGTCAGAGGCACCAAGGTACCGGTAAGGTATTTGACCGAGTCACCTTGCTTGATCCGTCGTCGGGCGGTGACGGCCGCTTCGTACGTGGTGATGGTATAACGGTTGGTGGTAGAGACTTCCCAGGGGCAGTCGGTTTGGTACATTGCGATATACTTTCGAAGGTGGGAGAGGAAATGGTCTTGCTCGGGCTTGGAGCGCAGGCTCTTCTTGTATCTTTTCAGACCAGGGAGTGCCAGCAGTGCCTTTTCGGCGGCCCCCAGATCTTTGTCAACAATGACTTTGTGCAGCAGGATGCGAGGGACATCATCCTCCTTGATTCCCCGAATTGGGATATGCTTGGTGCGATTCTTCCGTATTCGCGCCTTGTAGTATGCCTGGAAGGAGTCAGCACAACAGATCCTTGTACTTGCATTTGGATGGTGGTGGGTATTCCAACATTATCTATTAGCGCGTCTGAACACACGTCGTCGTGGGCGGCCAGTTCGGCGAGGGAGAGTCGGTGCGCCTTTTCAGGCTCCTGGGCCATGCTTTTTCGAGTCATGGTCGCGTGTCGTTTCACCCGACTCAAAGGTCGATGGGAGAGTCCAAGGTGTATGCTTTCTTATTAATGGTATGAAGAAGTCGCGGGAAAGGAAATGGCGTCGAGGGGTGCGGTCGAATGTGGGCTGCGTGGGCACAACGAGCGGAAGGGATCGATGGGTCTGAGGATTGCAGCGGATCGTGTAGTGTACACGCGGTCTGGGTTCAGGCCAGACCGAGAGGGACAATAGCAAGGCGGAAGAGAGCGTAGTGCGACATGACGATCGCGTAGATTAGGCGCAGCTGAACGAAGGAGGAAGGTCGCTCAGCTGTGCTTCACTTTTTGACATGAAGGAGAAGGGGATGATTGCTTGCCCGTCAAGGGAGCAGAGACAGGAAGCGAGGGGGGCCAACGGGGGCGACAACAGAGAGGAGAGAGGAGAGAGGCGAGGTCGACGGGCTGGAATCTGGGACTAGCTGTACTAACAGGCGTGGTGAGGTGGTTAGTGAGGACTTAGCGGGTAGTTAGTGAGCCGAGTTGCCCTTCTAGCAGCCCGCAGCCCGCGGCTAGCAACTAGCTGCCGGATTAGGGGCCTTTAGGCTTGCATCGCATTAACCTTCCAGGTCGAGTCCGGCGTTGATGTTTGACTTGCACTTGAAAGAGGCTGTGCCTGCAGAGAAGCATACAGAAATCAAGTGCAGATGCAGATATTTCTTTCGGACGTATCTAACGCCGCTTTATCAATCGCCTAAGGTACAGTACTAACTACCTGGTGGCCTCGGTAAGGTTCTCAACCCCTGACATGTCACTTTCTTGCCACTCCCAGCGTATCATAGCCGGCGCGCGAGACGAGAGACGAGAGACGACAGACAAGTCGACACGAGCCAGATCTCGTTCATGGGATTGGGCTGCGGATGTGGATCTCCAGCCTACAGTACGGTGTACGATGACTCGGTTACAATGCTTCAACCCGCGTCCAGAAGAGATGCAAGGATGAGTGGTCACACGCCTGAGCCAGCCAGCCGTTGAGTATCAATCAGGCCCGTGGAGGTCACATGCGCAGCGCAATGTGCGGGCGAGTCTGACTGCTGCCTGCATCAGCCTTCTCATACATACACTGCACTCTGGTCGCCAGTGTCCTCCTCTGGCCTTCACCATGCCGTGTTGTCGACAATTTTGCTCGGGATAGCACTGTCAAGATGTGCTGGATGCCCATTTCCAATCTCGTTGCTGCTATATGGGAATGGATGAAAGGGCAATCTGTCTTCCTTTCCGAGGTATGGAGCATCAGCCTGTGTGCGACCTGCCCTCGATCACATTCCCAGATTCCCCTTGTTTCGGCTGGCAGTGTTGGAGCTTAGCTAGCTGTTGTCTGTGACACTGGACTTTCCTTATATGTCGGTGGCAGATGGGCTATCTATGTTTACTATTGCATCTTCTAGGTCCCGTCGAGTCCCAGTTGTCACGAAACGGATGACGAAGACCACCATGTCCACATTCAGCCATACAGAGCATCCTCGGCCTGGTCTACAGAAGTAAGCTGTTTCTCGAGCCCGGCTAGGTGTGGCAACTTGCTTTAGCCAAAAGACCTCCGCCTATACTGAAGACAGACCGTGATTGACATGCGGAATCCCTAGTCGCTATCCTCTTTCGAAGCACCCAGTCTCATGGATTAGGTAGACACCACAAGTTCGTCCTCCATGGCGGCCCTTCAAACGGTGTAGAGTCAATGGCGTGATAGAAGGGGGCCGTGCTGGCGTGTTACTCCAGTCGCCTGGGTTGAGGTGGACATTGGCTCTGGATCAGGATCAGGATCAGCAAAGACATGACAGAAGTTGATGGCAAGACTCAGACGAGGCGCACTTGATAAGCAACGCAACCATATCATACATCATGATTTTCGGCATGCACCAAGGTAGTCATGCCCAACGCGTGGGTCGTCAGCATGACCTGCAACAGCTCATCGTCACTGAGACGAAGCTTGTCATAGGACATGTCCAGCTTGATGCTGGAGAGTCCTTCTTGGCTCAACATGTCCAGCTTGACGCTGGAGAGTCCTTCTTGGCTCACCATGGCCGCAATAAGCGGGCCAGAACATCCATACTGTACTCTGTACAGTGTACATACTGTCATAGGGTCCACCATCATTGCATAGATGTGTGGCCGTGGTTATGGATCCTGGTCTCGAGTCTACCGCGGTGCTCGCCATCGATCTGGTTGAAGAATATACTATAATACAATACCCAGGTCCTATCGTACACCCCCCAGTTTCCGCCCTTACCAGAATGTATAGTTTGCTTTGGCTGCTGCTCGATCCTTTGGTGTCTCCAAGACATAAGATCGGCCACCAATACTTCTGGCGCCGGATCTCTTGAATAAGAAGTGAACTGCTAACTGTTAGTGGATGAAAACTATGCCTTGGTCCACAACTTGCCTCTTGTTTCCAGTTGAACTGCTTCCATTGCTCGTCAGAGGGCAGTACCTCTCCATCGATACCAGCCTCCCTTAGAGTGGCCTGAATCCTAAATGGAGCACCCTTGAATTCAATCCCAGATCGTTGGGCTTCCCTAATCGCGGCATCACACCATGCTAACTCAGGCTCTTCCTCCCCTGACGGCCACTCAGAGTGGTTCCTCCGGAGAAGTGCTAATACAAGGGCGATATTCTTGACTGATGAGTTGGGCCGTAGCAGACTGCGCTCTTTCAAGATTCTGAGAGTACAGAATACCGCCCCTCCGACAAGCTTGAGCGTAGCCAAGACGTGGTCAGGATCATCAATATGAAAATACATTTCATCAGGGAGGTCGAATGCGAAGCCTTCAATCAAGGACCACAAAGCTGCCACCGAGGGCTGCTTCTTGCTGATTTCCTTGTTGAAAGATAAGAGCTGCATCGTCAGATGTCAGCCGGAAAGCTGATGCCCAAGGAGCAAGCCGCCTACCTGATTTTCCATCATTTCTTGAAATCCATAGCCGTTGAAGTCGCTGAAATGGTATTCAGCGTAGTTGTCCTCGTTCCGTATGGCTTCTTCATATCGCATGTGGGCCAATGTCTTATATCCTTCCCGGCTGAGAAGCCATCGGTGTTGAGGATGCGCATTGGATGGTTTTTTGCAGATGCATTGCTTGGTGCCGCAGGTTTGGGCTAGCCGCTGCATCTGTTCGCCTTCGCCTTCATCATCTTCCGAGGATTCATAGTCCTCGTAAGTTGCTCTCTTCTCCACAGTGATATCGTCTAAGGGTCTGCATATAGTCCAGAACTCGAGTCGTTCCTCGCTCGCCCCTTGAACGGCATCTGTGTGCTCGGGGACATGGGTAGAACTCTCCGCAGTATGGGTGTTTGAATCATGTTGTTCGAGTCTTTGGACCAGTTCTGCTTTGGTGCCACTTATCTTGAGATGACGGCTCCGTAGGAGCTGGCAGAGCTCGCCTTTCGTAAGTGTCGTGTAGAGAGCCGCATCATTCTCCCTTCCAGCGTAGCTCTTTGCTGCTTGTCGTTTGGAGCTCGGGGGTGGCCCGCTGACGTTGCCATCGGCCTCACTCAATGGACGTTTAGCACCAGCCATCTTGACGATGGAAGAAACATTTGGGAGCGGCGTGAGCAATGCTCAGACAAAAGGGGCCGCCCTTCCAGAGAAGTAAGTGCCGTTCATCACCTGGTGATCACTGTGTTCAACGTTGACGTCACGCGTTCACGCGTTCAGCTCCCAAACGCGCTTCCACGTGATGGGCTGCTTCTCCAACGTAGAAAGTGTCTGAACAGTAATTGTCGCTGCTCGCAGGTAGGATATAATAGTACTGAATTAATAACATTCGTAGGCTGGTCATTGCGCCAACATGGGTACAGTGGGATTGTTAAATCGTGCTCTATGATATGCAACAAAGGATCTCTGTCATGGCTCAGCATCACTTCTTCGACATCAAACCTGTCGGGCGCTTCGCAGGACAAAATGCGGCGATTCGAAGACCCCGAGTATGCTGCCGCGGAGAGTGGTTTTGGCTGTCCTGTCCGCTTACTTCGACTACTAGGAGATCACTTTCTTTTCCTTTGACGAGGACCACAGACTTCGTCACGATGCTTCGAGCCTGCGTTACTACTACCCCCCGGCCGTCCCCTGCGATCTCAACAAAGGATTCGACACATTCCGGCAGCTGGACGACTCCGCGGACGACCATCTTGATGGCTTGTTAGATGCGCTAATTTTATACGAAAAAGAAAAAGGGAATAAGGTGGACACAGATATTATAACATGGCGCGGAATGATGACCAAGGTGCGAAGCATCACCTGGCTGTACTAGTAGTGGTTCGCTTATACAACGGGACAGATCATGGTAGCGCCGTTCTCCTCCTTCGACGACTGGGAAATGAACGCCACTCTATTCCAGGGCACCATCTTCATCGAAGAAAACCATTCCAAGAAGGTTGCTTCTCGAGAGCATCAATTTTCGGAGGTTGCTCGTCCCGGCGCCATGTCCCAAGATCTCATGAGTTTCTGGGGATACAAATTCGAGACGGTGTCGCTATTGCCAGAACCATGGTCGGCCACCCCGAGAGAATATATTGATTCCCGCGAAGACCAGATTGTGAGCAACTATGCTCAGTATTGTTCAATTGTCCGTACGGGATTTGGAAAGGTGAAAATGATAATTGGAGGAGAGGTCGATGCGGTCATGGACTTCAAGCCAGAAGACAAATCTCAGCCGGTCAATTGGGTAGAGCTCAAGACCACTGCTGCGGTGACCAACGAGCGGGAACAGATCAAGTTCGAGAGGAAGCTGCTGAAGTTCTGGGCTCAGTCATTTCTGCTTGGAGTGCCAAAGATCGTGGTTGGTTATCGAACTAGCCAAGGCATCCTCGAGTATCTCGAGGAGCTTGACACACAAAGTATCCCAGAGAAGGTGCGAGTCAAAGGTAATAATCTGTGGGATGGGCAGACCTGCATTAACTTCGCCTCGAGTTTTCTTGAATGTAAGCCATGCTCCCCGGATGTTTGTCCGCTCAGCTGACTCCGGTAAAGGGCTGAAGGGTGTTATCACCGAAGGCGGCGTCTGGAGGATCCAGAAACGGGACAAATCCCCGAGACTTGAGATCTTCAAAGTTGAAGAAACAGGCCATGGAGACATTCTGTCCCCAGCGTTCGTTGAGTGGCGAACACATGGTCTGAAAGACCAACAACAGAAACAGGCGACAGCCGCAGACAACAATGTCAATGGCACAGGCACGGTGTCTGAACCTCCCTGAGCCGCAAAGTTCTTGCAGGATTTCGGCGATGTCTGAATGATTTGCTCCTGGATTTGTGCCAGGCCCTGGCAGACTTTAGCCTTCAAGGCTTTTTGCAAAGGTCACATCGCGCCGTATAGTCTCGGTGGCTGTCAAGTCCCGCTTTCGGCGCGCGACGACAGTGTTCTTGTGGCCTCGACTCACAAGATGGCCGTTCCATTCCGCCTCTGTCATGAGCGTCTTGTCACAGATCTCACATCTTCGCGCAATGCGGTTGGGCTGCGTCTCATGCTCATCTGGTAGAGGTAGCATCCGGTTCGCCAGATCAGAGAGACTCCTGGGATCAGGGGGTTCTTCGCCATTCAGGAAGCAACCCACAATCTTGCTTGCCGGGGTTTGCACTGCAGAGTCCCACTGTGCAAGATCAGAACAATCCAGAAGGAAAAGCTTGTCCAACTTTCCAGTCCTTGCCAAAGCGTTCGCCAACCGGATACGGATGTAGCGGTTTTGGCGCTTTGCGTACCGTCTCGTGCCGGCTTTCACGGACCCTATTGCTGCCTGCAGTATACGAGAGTTCTCGGCAGAAACCACCCCCGAAGTTTGTTGGCAATCTATCCATGACTCCATCTCTTTGTACCCGATTGAGACCCAGATACCTTTGCTCTTGTCCACGGGTATCCCTTTCCTCTGCAGATCTGCCTCCAACTTCGCCATTGAAGCAGCTTCATCTACCAGACCGCTTGCGACCATCGACTCGACGCGCGCATTGAGACGCTCTTTCAATGCTGTGTCTTCGGCTTCCAACCACAATAGCAGAGTCGAATAGCGGAATCCGTGTTCGTCTGCCACGAGCCCATTCCGATCAGCATGCTGTGGGCTATCGAGATCAGCTCCGTCGTGACCGCCCGATCTGCGTTCTTGCTGTTCGGCATAGACGTCAGAGGCTTTTCTTCCCGTTTTGAGCCAGATCTCAAGGGATCGCTGGATCTTCCGCCGGTCCCTTGGATGCCATCTTCTCGCGATTTCCGGATCAACCTCCTGTAACTGCGCAAGGATTTCTTCCGTGGATTTCGAAAGAATAGAACATGGTTGATTTGGACCTGGAATGTCGGCTTTTTCTAACCCACTTCCCGCGCCCCCCTCCGCCAGAGTCGCGTCCTTGAACAATAGTGCGTGAGTGTAGTAGTGCGTGCCGCCGACCACGATAGGCAACTTGCCCCTGGACCTGATTTCGTCGATGATGCGAGAGCTCTCCTTGACAAACTGGTTGACCGTCCAAGGGTTCTCGTCAAGGCCGATGAAGTCGAGCAAGTGATGTGGGATGCCGTTACGTTCGTGCTCAGGCATCTTGTTCGTAATGATGGGCAGTCCCTTGTACATCTGCATTGCATCTCCATTGACGATCTCGCCATTGAACCGTGCAGCAAGTTGGACGGCAAGCTTTGACTTGCCAGTCCCCGTGGCACCGATGACCACGATGAGAGGATCTTTCGGCGCATGAGACGCCATAGTGAACCCTCGTCTCAGGATCGTAGACATCAACGGACCCTACTGATACGTGAGACGCAGAACATGGCAACCCTGCGGAAGATGGGTCGATCAGGCCGCCACCATCTAAAGAGCACACAGGCGTCGTTCATCGAATTTTGACATTGTAGTCCAGGGCGGCTAAGGCGTACACATATGATCTGTGATTTGACATGGAAGAGCGGAAAATGAATGGCACATGTTTAACGTCACCAACTTGGACGTCAAAATTGTAAGTGCGCGCGATGGTAAAATGCTTCACCGTATAGACTGCGGCGAAAGTTCTGCCGACATTTTTCAGCAACGTCAACTCGGCGCATGTTGAATAGCCACCACGAGAACAACAACCACAACCACAACGCCTGACCTCGCAAGTCTTTCCAGCACTGGTCGGTTTTGACCGCATTCTCAACCATGGCGGAAGTGGTGCAAGCGCGGACAAGCTTCGCACCGGCGTCTCCATCTCGCAAGCGATCAGCCTCCGCAGACGCCGAACCCGCCACCGGCTCCGCGAGCAATGCCTTGACGACGACGACGACGACGAGCAACAAAGACGAAACCTCACTGTCAGAACCGCCGGCGAAGAAAACCAAACTCATTCGACGCAAGCGGCGACCGGCGCGGCCACAAGTTGACCCGTCGACGATCACGTCGACACCTCCGCCGCAGACTGGGACGATATTTAACATCTGGTACAACAAATGGTCAGGCGGTGACCGGGAAGATGCATACCTGTCGAAGACGGCGGCGCCGTCGCGATGCAACATCCGCAACGACTCCGGGTGGACGCAGGCAGACAAGACGCCAGGCAGTTATTTCTGTCTGTTCTTTGCGCGAGGGCTGTGCCCCAAGGGCCACGAATGCCAGTACCTGCACCGGCTGCCGACGATCTTCGACGTGTTCAACCCGAACTCGGACTGTTTCGGCCGCGACAAGTTCAGCGACTACCGCGACGACATGGGCGGGGTGGGCAGCTTCCTGCGGCAGAACCGCACGCTGTACGTGGGCCGGATCCATGTGACGGACAACATCGAAGAGATTGTGGCCCGCCATTTCCAGGAATGGGGCGAGATCGAGCGCACTCGAGTGCTGACGGGCCGCGGCGTCGCGTTCATCACCTACGTCAATGAAGCGAATGCCCAGTTCGCCAAGGAGGCCATGGCGCACCAGGCGCTCGACAACAACGAAGTGCTCAACGTGCGCTGGGCCACCGTTGACCCGAACCCGCTGAGTGCGAAGCGCGAAGCCGCCCGCGTCGAAGAACAGGCCGCCGAGGCCGTGCGGCGCGCGCTGGGCGAGAGCGCCGTACGACAGATCGAAGGCCGCGAGACCCACGAAGAGCGCGACCAGAGGAGGCTTGCGTCGCGCTACGGCCTCGACGGCTACGAGGCTCCTGAGGAGATCTGGTTCAACCAGCAGAAAGACCGAGCGCTAGAAGGCCAACAGCAAGGCGAAAGAGGCCTGCTCGACGCTCCTCCACTGGATTCTTGTACAGAGACCGCCTCACCCCACCCCTCCTACCAGACCGATGCGCATACGGACACCCACGCACAGCAAGCCCACCACGAACCCGAAGATACCGGCATCCTGGGCTCCTCCGTCCTGGCAAAGCTGCAAGGATATGCGTCGAGTGCGAGGCCGGTACACCCACAACCACAGACGTCAGCCCCTGGACCATTGGTTGCGTACGGGAGTGACGATGAGAGCGATTGATTTTGTTATTTATTAGCTGGTTGGTAGTTGCTGGTTGCTAGTAGGTAGTTGAGGCGCTGGCGAACAGCATCATGCTAAAGCTGTAATAAGAACCAATCAATGGCCCTGCTTCTCGGCATCATGCTCAAGCTGTAATGGGAAACAAAGGCCATGCCATGCTTCTCGAGTGGACAATAGCAACAACAGCAACAACAACAGAATCTCGGATCCAATTGTGTCCGTTGCAAGCAATCTTTTGTTACTACATTTCCATTGAATTCCATCCATCTCTCGCTTTTTGTTTTCAAACAACCTTTGATTCATGCTCGGAATCGAAATCATACCCATGCCCATGCCCATGCCCCAAACTCTTTACAGCTTGCCCTCCCTTTACAGCTCGTCCTCCCTCTACAGCTCGTCCCCCTCTACAGCTCGCCATGCTTGATGCCGGCCTGGATACTCAGATCCGGCATGCGCATAATCACCACCACCAGACTCGTCCAGCCGGTGAAGTGCTGCGTGCGCTGACCCGCCCCGCTGTCGGGATTGTACTGCTCCCAGGCGAAGCCGGTGCGCTCCCACTCGTTAAAGACGTTCTGCACCAGGTTCTGGCGCAGCTCGGTGTAGATCCTGGCGGCTTGGGTCTTGACCTTGGAGGGCGCACTGGGCGACTGTGCCACCACGAGGAGGTTCTTGAGGATCAGGTAGTTCATGTTGACCCAGATGGGCGAGCGCCAGTAGTTCTCGTCGGTGCCGTAGAACTCGTCGGATCGCGAGAGCGACCGCACCCCGTACGGTGACCAGAGTTCGGACTCGGAAGAGATCAGAGCCAAAATGTGCGGGAGGTTGGGGTGTGTCGGAGGCAAAAGACCTGTGAGGAAGGGGAACAGGCTGATGTAGCCTTTGTGGCAGACATGTGTCGATTCCTCGTAGTCGTCGATGGTGGCGTCGCAGTAGGCTTCGGCTTCGGCAGACCAGTGCAGGTCGTCGATGTTGCGCACAATGGCAGTGCTTTGTGCTTGGAAATCCGAGGCATCGTCTGTCTCCGACAAGACGGTCGCCAGCCGTAACAGCGTCCGGGACATCAGGCCCACCCAAGAAATCAAGTCGGTGTGCAGTTCACCAGGATGCGGTGGTTGAGGGCGTGGGTAGTCGTCGAGTCCAGAAGGGAGGATGTGCCGAGGGGTACGCCCGCGCCAGCGGTAGGCCTCTTTCGTCGAGAAGGCTTTGCGGTCGTAGGACTTGATGTCGCCGAATTGAGTGCGGCGGAACCAGTAGTATTGTCGTTTGAGAAGGGGGTAAAGAGTCCGGAGCTCCGACTCGATCCGCTCTTTTTGAGCCCCCGGCGCGGTGTCGGACAGTTTGTCCATCAAGATGTCGATGATGAGAAACAACGTTGGCGGATTGGCATAATGGGGATACTGGACTTGGAACTCTTCCGGAACTTTGCTGCGTGCTTCCGGCCCCAGGATCTGTTCACGGGCGATCCAGCCATCCTCGTCCATGAGATTAAACCACGACTTGACAATGTCGAGGGTGATGTCGAGGTCCCATTCGACAATGGGAACCAAATGAAAGCCTTCGTCCCATAAAAATCCGCGGGGGAAAAAGGGCCTAGATGGGACAGAGGTGAAGAGTTCCGCCGGGGGATCGTTCACAATTTCTGCCCGAGCTCTAGCCTCGGCCGTCTCCTCCCAGAAGCCTTCATTTTCCTCGTCATATTCCGGGGCATAGGATCGGTCCACAAGTGAGTCACCATAGAAATACCCAATACCACCGTATAGATTGGAAAACATTGACTCGGCAAACGCGGTGTAGGCCGGCTTCGTGAACGGGGCCAAAGGCGTGAAGACCTCCTTGAATCTAGCCTTGAACTTGTCCGAGGTCGCAGCGATAGCCTTGTCCACCGTTTCCGTAGACACAGAGGGTCCTGAAGCAGAGTTGAACAGAATATCGAACTCGAAGCTGCCCACAAACAGTTTCTGAACCATGTGAAAGTTTCCCGGCCCAGGCTTCTGGGGAATGGTGAAGGCAGCCCAAGGTGGTGGCATGTTTTGCTGGCCATATTCTTGGACCTGAACATCAATCTCTTGCTTCATACTGGCAAAGACAATGTTCTTCGCCTGCCAGGCAGCCTCGGGGGGGATCGGTACGCTGCACATCAACATCCGATCGAGCGGTTTGGCGTCCCAAGATGCATGTGTCCGATATGGCAGTGTATTCTCTGACGGTTCCTTGAATGTGATGTCGAACTCGCCTAAATCGATGGCTTCACCGTGCAGCGTGACCGCTCCTTCGGAATCTGGCTCCTCGGCGGTGAATCCAAGCTCACCCAACCCCTCCAGGCCCGCATAGAAGACCAGGGTTGTGACTAGATTTGAAGGAGCATCCTCCCGAGGAGTCCCTTTGATCCTGGCCGCCCAGCTGCCGCCATGTTGTCCGCCGGAAACCTTGACGAAGTCGATTGTGAGGTCGATCTTGTTTCCAGTGTCATGGATGACTTCGCGACCACCGTTGCGAGCATCGTACTCTTCCCAGCCATAGCCTGCCATTCCCTCATTCTGCTCGCAGGTGTGACGGAAGTTTTGTTGGACCGTGGCATAGTTGTCGGTGTTTGCCCAGAGCAGCCCCGTCAATAGACTGTTCGGGAGGCGTGGACGGACGCCGAAGTAGAGATTCGGTCGGTAGGGGCCCCATAAGAGGGTGTCGTTCGAAGTTGCGACTGGCGAGGAGGCATGCGCTGAACTGCTGAACAGGGAGAAGAGAGCGAATGAAAGAAGCAACGAGAGAAAGCGTGCTCGTGCAGGATTTGTGGCACGACTTGTCATAGTGCCCGATGACCGACTCCCAGAGCCGAGAATCAGTTGACTTGTGCTGCGGAAGACATGGCCAGCCTCACTCTACCGACGCATTTATTTACTGTCCTGCTAGTATGAGATACATCCCCCCATACTATTTTGGGGTATACGCCAATCTGGCCTCGGGGACGGCGACGCCAGCTTATTCATACGGTGGATCCTGGATACAGAAGCCGCATAATTGCCAATATTGCGGAGTGTAGAATCTTTAAGCGCAGATTCAGCCTTGTAGCAGTTTCTACTAAGGGGCCTTCGCATCGCATCACATCTTGCCGGTGACAGTATCCTTCTTGGTGCACCCTCGCGTAGAGCTTGAGTAGTAGAGTAAGAACAAAGGAAAATGGGGTTGGTTTCTTCTTCTTATGGACAAAGTCAGGGCAGCATCCCCCCTTGTCAAGGCTAAATTGTGGACGCGATCAGTCGGCTCGGTCGACCTTCAGTTGTTCTACCTCAAGGACAGGCGGTACAGTCACGGCGACCACTGTCACCATTAACACATATGACGGCTGTTCAAATCAGTCTCTTAACGTACGAAATTGCCAGTCCCTCCCAGGGCGTCCGCTAGACATAACGCAATAGGTGAGCTCGACGAGAATGGTGCGTGCCGGATTGGTCGACCGTCAGTTGTTCTACCTTAAGGACAGGCGGTACAGTCACGGTGACCGCTGTCACCATTAACAGATGTTACGGCTGCTCAAATTAATATATTGCTCCTTGTAATAGGGCATCCGCTAGACATAACGTATTAGTTGAGCTCGATGAGAATGGTGCGTGCCAGCTTGGTCAACGACACTGGTCTGATATATCAGCAATACTGTAGAAAGAGCCCTGTAGAATCACAATCGGACTGCGGCGTTCACTGTGCACAACAAACAGGGCAGATAATGCAATAATACGACGGTCGACGTCAGAACAAGAAACCAGTAAACTCGGATATCATTCACGCCCAGCAGAGAAACAACACCACACTATCTACTCTTGGCCATTTTCAGGCGCAAGAACGCCACCAGGTCCGCCGCCTTGACCTCATCCTCTGAGCGGGAGGGGCTCCGCACCTTCAACGTGCGCTCGCCCGCCCCTCCCCTCACAATCACCAGCCAGTATCCCGCGTTGTCGCGGTACGCCATCTCCAGCTCCTCAAGGGAGCGGAACTCCTCAGACAGCTCGGCGCTGAGGCCTGCCGCCCACAAGGACGACAGGACCTCAACGCACGAGGTCTTGAGCGTCACCGCGTCGAAGGATGTCACCAGGATATCGCACCGGGTGAGGAGTTTGTTGGCGTCGGCGGCCGCGGGCTTTGACGACTTGCCGTGCGGCTGGACCTGACCGCGAACGTAGCCGACCAGGTCCATGATGTTGAGGCGGAAGCCCGCCGCCCGCACGGAGCCCTTGTCGGACTTGGTCTGGTACTCTTGGATGAGCGCGTCGTACCTTCCGCCCACCGCCAGGACCTTCCGGGCGTTGCTCTCCATGCATTGAAACAGGAGGCTGCCGCGGTACAGGTGCTCCGAGTTGTTGCTCAGAGGTGCGACCAGGACCTTGGTGTGGATGTTCATGCGCTTGAGAGACTGGATGACATCGTCGAGACGCGCCAAGAGAGGCAACGCCTTACTCAAGTGGTCGCTGTCGCCGAAGAGCTTGGTGAGTTTGGTACGCACTTTCTCCAGGTCGCCGTCGAAATTGAATCGTGATAGATCAGTGACTGACGTCTCGGCGATGTTCATAGCAGAGCTGCGGAGTTGTTCACGCACTTGAGTCCAGGTGGTCGTGCCGGTGTTGAGGTGCGAAAGAGCTTGCTTCACGGTAGAGACTTCGACTGGTTTAATGCGACAGAAGTCGAGAATGAGGTTGATGAGGTCCGCATGATTGAGGTAGATGGTCCAGTTGCGACAGGCCAGGGCAGGGAATTCCAGCAGCATTTCGTCCAGAACTTTGATGACCTCGGCTTCTTTGATAGACAAGTCTCTCGCACTACGAGAAACAAAGTCGAAGTCCACTTCTGGCACTTGTCTGGGCTCATTGCCGGGGACCGTGGCGCGATAGACGACGCCGAAGCAGTACGTCTTGGTGTATTGGCCGGTGGTCTGCGCAAGAGTGCGTGCAAAAGGAAGGGTGAGGTCAACGGGCAGCTGCACCACCAGGCCAGAAGGGTCGAGGAAAGTCGCCGGTTTCGCGTAGAAGTCCTCCTTGGGGATAATGCCCTGTCTGCCAGCTTCAACGGCCCCGTGTCGACGGAAGATGGTTTTGAGCTGGTCGCAAACACAGATCCACAACATTGAGTCCGCCGAAGACATGCCATGTGCGGTCTTGTCCTCCCAGGCCAGGCTTGATACGGCATTGTTTGGTTTGGCGAACAAATTGCTCACCCATTCCTGGTATTGCTCCGGATTTTCTGCCGCCACCCGGTCAATGTACCGTTGCAACTTTTCCTCCTCCACGGGTTCTGGGATCAGTCCACTGTCAAGCAGATCTTTGGCAGTCGGTCTCTGGTTCTGGTCAGGATCGACTAGTTTCAGGATGATTTCGCCTTGTCGACGATGGATATCCTCCTCGAAGAATTTCGGCAGAACAGGTGGTATTCTTCTCAGACCGTCCATAACCTTAGCCTTCTCCATGGCAGATGTAAAGGGGTAACACATTTCAAGAAACATGATCCCCAGAGAATACATGTCGGCACGACTGTCGTAGTGACTACCACGAATGTAGAGCTCAGGGGCTGTGTAGCCTTGCGTACCCAGTCCGGTAGAGTTGGTAATCACCATGCCTGGCTTCGAAAGATGGGGCTTGGATGTTGCTTGACCAGCAGTGGCAAGCCCGAAATCACCGATTTTAGGGGTGTCGTCCGAGTCGAGGAAGATGTTTTCGGGTTTGAGATCTCGATGGACGACGCCGTGACTATGGAGGTGCGCAAGACCCTCGACGATGCGTCGAAACAATCGCCAAACTGAAGTCACATTTGTAGCGAGACCTTGTGCAATGCGGTGGCGTAGACTTTGTCCGTCGCAGAACTCCATTTGGATGTATAACATGGATTGCTCATTGGGAGGTGGTGACCGTGAACGAAACGGCGTCACGGGGTTTGATTCAACGACCGGTGAATCAGCGCTGGCGAAAGGGTCGACATCCAAATCGGTCCCGTCAGGCGCATTTGGTGATGCAAATGGATCACTGGGCTCGTTCACGTCCTCCAGGACGGCCTCTAGCTCGCTCACGTCGAACCGGTCGTCATCATCGTAGCCGTCTTGTTCATCGATCGAAGGTGGAGCTTGGTATGCAAACATGCCACTTTCCGAGTCACTGTACTCGACGCCTTGGTTGCGGTAAACAGATGGCTCCATGAAGTCATGTCCCGTGCTTAAAGCCGCGGCATGTGGCAATGGTCTTTCTGGGACTTGTTGCTGAAACATTTCTTCGATCTCGTCCTGTTCGGTCTCATACCAGGCATTGTAATACCTGACAATGTAGGGGTGATTGAGTTTTGCGAGCAAGGTGACCTCACGCAGAATGTCTTCCAACATCTTGGTAGAGCTACTCTCGACCTTCTTCACGGCGTAGTATTGCCCATCGAGCTTTCGTCTGGCACGGAACACTTTGCCGAACCCTCCCTTTCCAATTCGTTCCAATTCTTCCCACTCATCCCGATATCGCGATTTGCGGTTTTTGTCGCTGTACCGTCTTAGTCGGCTCGGTGTGCTGGGCAAGTTGGGAGAGTAGCTCCGGAACATAGCCTCTCGTTCTTCGTAGAAGAATTGCTTGCGGCTCAGCTCAAATGCAGTGGGCCGATTGTTGGGGTTTGGCTGGAACAGTTCTTCCATCAGTCTCTCGGTGCTGGACTCGAAGTCGACCCCTTCCAGCACATTCGATGGAGAGGTATACATCTCCTGAACCTGATTGCCCAGCGCCATTTGCATGATTATCACGCCCAAGTCCCAAATACAGGTCTTATTGGTTCGCTTGGCGTTCTTGCTATTGAGCTCTGGCGCAATCCAGAGAGGGAGATCCTTGTGTGGCTGGGTCGACGGATCGCGAGCAGCTTGGACGAGATCTTTGAGCTGGGTACCATAACCGTCAGAGAGCTTGACTGTGAGACCGCCTGTAGGAGACATGAACAACATGACGTTGCCGGCATGAAGGGCTGGATGGACGTAGCCTTGTTGGTCGAAGAAAAGCAACGCGTCCACTATCTGTCGGGTCCATGAACGGATTTTTGCCGCACTGAGCGATCCAGCAAGGGCAATCAACGCCGAGAGGGCCCCTTTGTTCGCAAATTCGGACAGAATAGAAAGCCTCCACTGGCCGGGTCCGTCATCGGATTCCAGATGGTCGATCTTGTAGTTGATGAGATCGACAACATTTGGATGGCGATGTTCCTTCGAGGACTCCAACGCTTCTTCAACCTTTTCCAGACACTTTTGCAGTTCGCCTTCTTTGCCGCCGAGAGTATCGGGAAGGTAGATCTCTTTCAGAAGCAGTTGGGGAGCTTGGACACGATCGGTGTCGACGCGGGGGGCAACGATTGTGATTTTCTTGTCTTTGCGTTTGAGAATGACGGATCTTCCCACCACGGACTTGAATTTAAAGGGGGCTGTGGTCGCTGTATCTCGACATGTCATTGACTGATCGAATCGAACCGGTTCTTCAGGGACATCGTAGAGATCTGCATTTTCTTCCGCGGTGATCTTGCGGGTGAGAGTGGTTTTGAGGCGACGCTGTTTCTCGCTTTCGACCTGAGATTCCAGCAGCTTTTCTTTCATTTCAGCTTCTCGAGCTTGCCGTGTTCGCTCACTTTCTGCCTGTTCTTCAAGCTGCTTTTTGGCTTGTGCCTCTCTGACAGCACGTTCTTCCTCCAGGCTCAGTTCCGTCCTTGCGGCTGCCTTGGCGACAATGGTCTGTTCAAGGAAGTCCATGATGGCGGCGTTGACCTCATAAACAGACTCGCTTCCTTGGTGTTGACGTGGCACGGTGGCTAGGATGTGTTCGACTTGGCGTTTGGTCTCAGGATCTTTTGGTTGAATCTCCACGACGTTGATCTTGGGCAGAACCTTTGGGTATTCGCGGGGAAACTCAAAGACCAATTTGACGAAGTAGTGGCGATCTTCAAGCGGTCCAACTCGAACTTTGAATGCTAGATTCTCTTGAGTCTGGGGGCCAGGTCAGTGAACGCGGGTTGCAGGAGTGCGGTAGATGGCCTCACCTTCCAGGCATCTTTCCTGCCTCGAACTCTCTCAAACTCGTCACCATAAATGGCTCTGGTGGTAAGAAACTCGTTGCGTTGGACTTCAGGATAGTCGGCGAGTTCTTCCTCGAGTCCACGGAGGGATTGTCCGAATGAAGGCGGAGCAGCAAGTGAAGGCTCGGTCTTTGGTCCTCTCTCATGAGGATTCTTTGCACGCTTGCGAGCAGGCATGGTGGAAGAACAGGTCAGACCCCCTCAGGGATCTGAAGTCCACCGCCTGTGTTGGTTTCGTGTGCACAAAGCTTGGCACGTGACCCCAAACGGGGAACTATGCCTAGGTAGCCGCAGCACCAGCCGCGACCACCTACGGGGACATTTTTTGCATTTCCATTTCCATTGTCGATGCTGTGTGTTGTGGTGGTGGTGGTGGTTTTGCAGAGAGAAAACAACAAGTGGCTAAAGAGTCACCCTGAGTCGGGCTCTCACGTGACACACGGCCGATGGCCAAGACATCCACGGACCGGAGATACTATCTTCCGGGCTGCCGACCTCAATCTTCAATTTGGGGATTCCGGGTTTGAAGCGTTTCTCCTGCAACGATATCTCCCTCTGTGATCTCGAAAGACGTACAGACAAGGGCTGTCTGCTGGCACGGGCTGAGAAAGTCTGACCCACTGTTCCTTTGTGCAGTGCAGGCTTTGTGTGTCTGGCCCAGATCCAGAACTCACAACTCACCAATCGTCTGTGGGACAGGTTCGGATCAAGTCGTTCAAGATGGTGAACATCACAGAGAAAATCAAGGAGTGCGACTTTCTTCCCTTCTGCGATGCGTTGCGGACTCTGACTCGGTTCCAGGATCGAGGCCGAAATGGCTCGGACTCAAAGTGGGTGACCAGAACTCATCACAGATCGGTTGGACCAGTAGCTGATGGATTCGCAGAAAACAAAGCCACAGGTTCGTGAACAGGCGCCAATTTCTGTGATAGAGCAACCCTGCTAAGTTGACACCAGAGTATCACCTTGGTCTGCTGAAAGGGTAAGTGGAACTTCTGATTTAGTCGTTGGACCAGATTGTCAGTGAGAAGATGGAAAAGAGACGCAGCTGCACCTGCGTCTGCGTGAAGAACGGCTGTGCACGTGATACCTTGCACGTGATGTGTGGTGATCACGTGCATCAGCCTTGCCCCTGGACTGACAGACAAGGATGGGCCATGTTCAAGGAGGCACTGCCAATCGACATGTTGACAATGCTTTCCATGCACTGCTGGTGGTGCATCTGCACACATTGTCGACAGCGAGACTAACAGGACGTTTAGCAAACTCGCCCGGCTACGAGCACAGTTACTTGAACCCGGACCAGGAGCCGGATCAGGCGGCGGCGCAGGCTTCGATGTTTCCAAGTCTGGCGATGCGCGGATTGCCTTGGTGGGCTTCCCGTCGGTTGGCAAATCGACCTTCCTCTCCAAGATCACCAAGACGAAATCCGAAGTGGCAGCATACTCCTTCACCACCTTGACCGCCATTCCGGGAGTACTCGAGTACGGCGGGGCCGAGATTCAGATTCTCGATCTGCCCGGTATTATCGAAGGAGCATCGGAGGGCAAGGGGAGAGGGCGACAGGTGATCAGTGCAGCAAAGGTAAGCAATAAGCAACGGCGGGCATCACGTTTGCTTGGGTCGACGACTGACTGGGTGGTGTGATGCGAGGGGTTTTTTAGACCTCGGACTTGATTCTCATGGTGTTGGACGCGACGAAACGCGCCGAGCAGCGAGCCCTGCTGGAAGCGGAACTGGAGGCAGTGGGGATCCGGCTCAACCGCAGCCCGCCCAACATCTACGTGAAAGCGAAGAAAGCCGGGGGCATGAAGATCACGTTCCAGGCGCCGCCGAAGTACCTGGACGAGAAGATGCTGTACAACATCCTGCGCGACTACAAGATGCTGAACTGCGAGGTGCTGGTGCGTGACGAGAACGCGACGGTGGACGACTTCATCGACGTGATCATGAAGGACCACCGCAAGTACATCCGCTGCCTGTACGTGTACAACAAGATTGACAGCGTCACCATGGCCTACCTGGACGAGCTGGCGCGCGAGCCGCACACGGTCGTCATGTCGTGCGAGCTGGACCTGGGCATCGCCGACGTGGTCGAACGCTGCTGGCAGGAGCTGCGCCTCATCCGCATCTACACCAAGCGCCAGAGCATCGACCCGGATTTCGGCGAGGCCCTGATCGTCCGCAGCGGCAGCACCATCGAGGACGTGTGCGACCAGATCCACCGCACCATGAAGGACACGTTCAAGTACGCCCTGGTGTGGGGCGCCAGTGCGAAGCATATCCCCCAACGGGTCGGCTTAGGCCATTTCGTGGCCGACGAGGATGTCGTACAGATTGTCAGCGCATGGAGAGCGTAGAGCACGTTGGGCGCATTTGGCATGGCGTGGCGTGGCGTTTCAAAGGATTTATTGGGCACAATATCAAAACTAGTCTCCGTACATCAATGCTACGGTACGTACCGTCACTGTTCAGCTGCAGGAAGACATAGTCATTCAATCATTCATTCCCTACGTGACTCGTGCCGGTGCCGGCTTGGTCTATCTCAACACTTTCCTCGGATCAAGACTGTTCACATTTGCACTGAGCGCCTTGCCATCGAAGACAAACTCGCTCATTAATTGGCCGGTGCCTGGTCCGTTCTGGATGCCCCAACACGTGTGCCCAGCAGCGAGATAGACTCCCTTGGTCCTGGTCAGGCCGACTAGCGGGCCGGCGCCGGCGTCAACCTGCGGCAAATAACAAGCCTGCCGGACCAACACTTCGCCGTCGCGCATCTCGTCGGAGAAAGCTGCACAGTAGTCTACAATATCCTGGCAGCGCGAATCATCGACTTGCACTTCGGCGGTGGACTTTGGCAGCGGCACAAGGTGATCGCCCTCGCCACAAGCGTACAGTTCGTTATTCGGACGAGCGTAGACCTCGGGGCTGACCTGCATCGCCCGGGATTTGGTCCCTTCCTTGAAGTTCTTGGGCAGTGCAAGCTCGGTGAACAGGCAGAACGCGGAGACTGGACGGGTGGGCCGAATAGTGACACTGTGAGCTCGTAATGCGCTGATGGGAGTCCCAGGCAGCACCGTCTTAGTCCACGGGCCGGCTGTCACGATGACATCGGTTGCGGGGAGAGATTGCTGCGAGTTTGTGTTTTTATCTGTGTATTTGATGGTGTGTTCCCCTGAGGAAGACGACTCGATTTTGTCGACGCTGCCAATGATAATCTTGACGCCCTTCTCTGCTGCCAGTTCCGCCATGGAGGTGGTAAATTGGTAGGGGTGGACCTGTGCGCTATCTCCCGGAGAACTCATGCTTTCGTAGCCTTGCACAGTCTCCTCCGCAACCCAGTCGAGTTCATCGGGCAGACCAACCTTGCGTAGGTTGGCGTACGACTCTTTACTCCTCTTCTGGAGACTGACATTACCATCACTTGACACGTCGGCTCGATGCAAGCCTCTGATATCCTCGCCCTCGCCCTTGGCACCGGCATCGGCGGAGACCTTTGGCTGATTGCTTACATGGCGACCGATCAGATCAACCTGACCAACACTGACGCCTCGATAACCCCAACGTTCTGCTCCATTGTGTTCTCGAGCCAGTTCGGCATGGAGTCTGAAGCTCAAGGGCACCAGGCAGGAGGGGTATGCCCACAGGGCAATCAGACCACCGGCTTTGCCTGAAGCGCCACTGGCAATTGCAGTTGCTTCAATTAGATGGATGGAGTGGAGAGCTGGGTTGTATTTAGGATGGCGGGTCAAGAAGTAGGCCGTGGTGCTGCCGATGATGCCACCTCCGACGATGACAATCGATCGCTTTCCGGGTTCGGCCATTGTGGCGTGGGAGGTGGGAGGCGGTGGGAGGAACGTGAGGGATTCGCTGTCAGAGCCACGTATAGCTATAGCTCTCTAGGAGAAGATGGAGGCGAAAGAAAGCGAAAGAAGGGAAACACTGTGGTATCACCAGTACTTGAGCTGCGAGTATACTGTGCCTACCCTACCTTAGGTATAACACCCATATATATTGCTGCGGATGACGTCAAGCTATCAACCTCATAGGGTTAGGGTTAGGGTTAGGGTTAGGGTTAGGGTCACTATCACAGAACGAAAGACACCTCTTCCACCAGCCTTCAACCGGGCACCACACACCAACAGAAGCTGTGTGCTATCTGCCATCTCTCATCTCGACGGCCGGGTCTCTTCTGCTTTGACAATGCTGAGCAAAAGCCTTTGTCGCTTATTGTCCTGGCTTTGTCGATGCCACTCTATATTGAGGAACATTGAACAATGGAAGTGAGATGAGTGCTTTGTCAGGATCACTCGACCTCGAGCCCATTGTGAGTACGTGCTTGATCATGACCCAGAGGACACATAAGATTCCTGGGCCGCAACGGACTTTGCCTCCTGAACATCTTCGATACCAGCCCACTCCCACTGTGCACCGCCGATCCCAGCATGTCTTCCATCAATATCAACAACCTCTGGACTCCTCAACCCGTAGCTGGCGGGCCACCACCACCACCACCACCACCACCACCACCAGTCCTTGTCTCTATGCAGCCACCGCCTTTGGAAGGATTTGATATCCATCCTCTTTGGCGGATCGAAGCCTTCCGGCTATCAAAGTACAGCGACCTCCTACCCCTTCCCATCCTGGACCAGAGCCAGTATGACTTACCAGCCGCCTTGTATCAGCGGATGGAACCGGCGTTGAAGCTGGCCACGCTGTTTTTGAGACTGGTGCTTCCGGATCTGGCCAAAGTCAGATACGGAGCAGTCACCACCCACGTATTTGGCTCCCAGCTTGAACGCACGCTGACCGATTTCTGGAGAGAGACAGACCACAAGCTGCGGAGCTTCGAGGGTGAGCTGGCACGCATGTGTCGCTATTACCGCATCACCGTGGTGGGAACAGGTGAGCGGGATTGTCCACAGGGCCACATCGAGACCGCCATCACAGGCTGCATCGGCAACGATTCCAACTGGCCCACGTCTACATCTGTGATCGTCCAGTCGGCCATCACCATCGAATGGCTGCGCTACCTGGCCGACGACAACTGGCACACCCTAGACGCCGCCGAGAAGTACAGCAGGTACGTGATCATGGCGACGACGTTGGTCCACGAGCTGGGCCACGCCGTGTGGTGTCATCGCATGCTCCCTTGTGTGAAGGACGAATACCACCGCGCCGGCACCGTGACTGCTGATCGCCCCGAGCCGAGGTTTGTGTCTCAGGACGGCTTTGTCGAGATTGGCTACGCGATCGAGCTGCAGCTGTTTGGCGGTCTGCTTGCGTTTCCGCACCTTGGAACGCCCACCGCGGCCGAGACGCGCTCTCGCCAGATGCACGACCGACTCTTACTGACCATGATAGACGTCGACGGCCGAGCAGCGGCGGTTCATCAGTTGACCACCAACACCATCTTTGCGCTCTTTCGCCCCGAAACCTGGTTCCAGTCCCGGCCAGGAGAGTTCCCAAACTTGAGACTCAAGCTTGGGCCCGACATCAGACGGCCGGGGAGGCACATGTCGACCGTCCTTTCCGACCCTCCGGTACAAGACCTTCGTGTGCCGATCATCCGAGTCCCGAGGCCTGGTCAGCTGAAACCTGCCATCACCGAGTTCAATGAACTGTTTGGTTGACGGCGGCGGCCCCGGTAGGTACCAGGTACTAGTATACACGCCCTATCACTTTCGTTGAATGGCGGCTATAGGCAGGTTATAGTAGTGAGAAGGTGCTGCAGGCAGTTCCTCAACATACTGAGTTCACCAGGGTACGTAAGTGCTCCAATGTGTCTCTCTTGTATTGATCAAGCCACAACCGTAAGTCCCACTACGTTTCAGTTCCGCATATTTCATTTTTACAGAGCAGACGCTGTTCTTAGAGCATTGATTCTGGATGTGTTCACCTGGATGTGCTCACCTGGATGTGCTCACCTGGATGTTCTATTCCCAAATGCATTCATTTACTACCTATCTACATCTACTACCAGCCAGGTAAGTTATATTCATTGCCCACCTGGCTGTACTTGTATGTAGCACAATACAACTTGAATACAATAAGTCGAAGCATTTCCCAATTTCAAACAAGGATCATCTACCATCTACCGTCCCCGTCCACGTCTGCAGGTTTTTGCCATCCGAGACATGGAGAAATATTCAAGATCCTCCCTTCATTAACCTTGTATTTGTCAAACTTAGCCATTCCCAGCCTTGCCCTTTAACCGGAGAGGCTGGTTATACTATACTACATAGCATGCGCTCCCCCTGCGATCCTTTGATAGAGAACAGGGGACATTCCAACCTTCATTTGACAGTACTTCTCGAATTTCCTTTCCCTTTCCCTTTTCCTATCCTTGTTCTTGTTCTTTTGTTTTTCCTTTTCTCAAATTTCCTCTAGTTCCGACTCATTTTTCTTTATGGACGGCTTTGTTCAGCATGGCCATTGCCATTACAGCCAGCCAACATAGATCCTTGAGTCTTGAAAGGCTAGGGGCCTCTTTCACGGCCTTTCACGACAGTTCTTTGTGTCTGTGTCTTTGTCTGTCCCTGCGCACTGCCTCCCTTGACCGTGACACTGGCCCTGAAGGAAAGGATGAGACGACACAAAGAGGCTTTATCTTGTCACGAAGGAAGAGGAGATACGGACTGGACTGGCATGGCATGGGATGGCAGTTACGTAGGTTGCATACTATACTATACTCTCCTATTCAATTGTACATTGCATACATGATATCGGTGATATAGTGTTTGTCTACTCTACTCGCCCACCAGCCAGGCACAGTTTTCCTCCTTACTTACTTACTTACTATACACTACTCTTTCTGTCTGTGTTCCTGTCCATCTTCATCTGTCTGTCTGTGTACCTGTCCATCTTCTACCCAAGTACAAGCACAGGTGCAGGTGCCTGGCCCGTTGTCTCTACGAAGCCATAGCCATACATCCCGGATAGAGTCCTTATGACCACTATCTCTTCTTGATCTGGTCAATCAGACACCACTATTCGGAATCCTTATCTCGAGCAGACGCAGGACCAACCGCAACCGCAGTCGCCTCGCCAGAATGGGATCGACAGCAAGTTCCGCCGTGCCGATATTCATCTTTCTCGCCATCCTCCTCCTCCTCCCACCCTGCCTGGCTGTCCTGTTCACCATCCACCGACGTAGACGGCAGAGAGGAGAACAGCCCCAGCCCAAGCCCCAGCCCCAGCCCCAGCGGCAGCAGCGGCAACAGCTCCAGAACCAGAACCAGAACCAGAACCAGTGGTGGCGGCACCAGCGGCAGCGATCGCAACGCCAAACGGCGACCAAACCCATACATGACGCGCACCAAACCAAGCCGGACGGCTCTGCATCGATTGAGTTGCAGAAGATGAATATCGGTCCTTCTTTGTCGCCGGCTCTGCCTCCGCTGACTATACGTCCCATTCGATCCATGCAGCGGGAGAGGGAGACGGAGAGGGAGACGGAGACAAGCCAACCAATGCAAGGTTTATGGGAGAATCAGGAATACCAGTCCATGCGACGTGATAAGGACGTCCGGCCACGTTCCTCCTTACCTGGAAATGGAAATGGAAATGCGAACCGAACCCGTAATAAGGAACCAGCGTCACACGTCAATCAGGACCACACACAGACACACACACACAAAGACAGAGCAGAGCACATGCGTGAAGCGGGACCGGAACTGGAAGCCAGAACTCACTATGCCACGCCCGCGCTGACACAACCACAACCACAGCAGGCGTCAGTCTGGGATAGGAGACGGGAGGTCGAGTTCGCGCTACAACCTGCACCTGCACCTGGGTGGATAAAGCAAAAGCAAAAGCAAAAGCAACAGCAACAGCAACAGCAACAGCAACAGCAACAGCAACAGCAACAGCAACAGCAACAGCAACAGCAACAGCAACAGCAACAGCAACAGCAAACGCAAAAGGATCAAAACAAGACCGAGACCGAGACCAAGACCGAGACCAAAAATAAGAATAAGATGACCGAAAAGACATCGACGAGGCCAATGCTGGCAAATGCGCGCAACGTGACTCAGGTCGCAGCGGCGCCACGGGTTGAGAGTCAAAGAGCAGATCAGGATCAGGATCAGGAGACAGCGGTGGTGTGTATCGGTCTCGAAGTGGCGGGCTTAGGCCACCATCTCCACCATTGCCCTCTCCCTTCCATGCCGAACGCTGATGCCGGTCATGACATGGAGCCCCAGGTGGCCAGGGGATGGATTTGAGAACACAGCTCCAGCTCCTCCCTCCTCCATCTGAAAAGAAAAACAAAGACAAAACAAATCCACACGGTGCGGAAAGAAAGGACCATAGAACAGAGAAGTGCAGGCTTCAAGACAGTGGTTGTTTATGGCTCTAGATTTTGAAATGTCAATGAACATCATCATACTTAGATGGCCTGAACATAACTTCAGTTGCCTCATATCCCATTCAAGTTGGTTGAAATCACCCCATGCTAGCTAAACAACATTGTACTCGGCACGTTTGGCACCAAAGTACGCCCACTTAGAGTCTGCCTGCGCAAACGTCGTTATCCTCGCTGGCGCTGACTTGGGGCCAGGAGGAAGATTCCGCGCCTCGGTCGTGTACAAGTCGATGATCTCGTGCATGCTGTCTCTCTGCCGAGGGAGGGGTGGTGGACTCTCCGCTTCAGCCAAGTCCTCCCACTCGACGGAAAGAGGAGGAGGGAACTCGGCCTCGGGAGTCGGTGTCCGGTCAGTCGGGAGAAGTTCAGTCGTTGGGATAGGAGCCGGGGCCATTCCTGGGACCGTAGCTGCTCTAGTTAGAGGTAGAGTCGACTCATTCGATCGCTCGTCTTTTCGTAGTCTGCGGGATTGAAGATGGCTGGAGATTGCATCGTAGATTGCAATCAGAAATGTGATGGTGGCAACAGCGACAACGGCTATGAGAACGATGAGAGCTGCCTTGGGGATCATGGAGCCGAAGGGGCCGAATCATGCGGCAGCATTTAGCGTATTTGTGTAGAGAATTCGAGACTGCGTGATTCATCGCGGTCCACGCAGGCATGCGAAGGCGGCAGACTTGGACCTTAAAAAAGGGTCCATATTCGATCGGGCGCCGACAAAGAAACTGTTGATACGGTCAGAGGTCGACATACTTACGCGTCCAATAATGAAACAAAGAGAGTCCGAGGTGATCGCATTCGGACTTCGCGAACAACGTAGGATCTGGGGAGTCAGTGTTAGCTCGATATGCTGTTTGCGAATGCTCAGCCTGGCGAGTGACACTCTGTCGAAAAGGCAAGGGTGGGTGGAAATATCCCTGTTGACTTTGAAAGCAGCTGATCTTGCACCAGATGGCTTCCACTCAAGGTCATCTAGTGATTGGATTCGCAATCATGGCGCCGAATATCTCATCGCCCTCGGTTTTTCGAGCCTGTTTCTTCTTGTCGTGTCGTACCTTCAATGCAAATAGATAGACTAGGGCAATGATCAGAATGATGCTGGCGAATATCGCGATGACCAGCCAGGCGATGGGGGACATTTTGAAGTCGGACTGCATGGCGGCTTGCGGATTGTTGTCTAGTGCAGAGCTCGAACCTAAACAGGTGCTGATGAGGGCAAGGAGAGAGAGGATGTCAGGGTCTACTCCCGTATCACCTCTAGGAGGGTATTATAGAGCCTCGACACGACCACACCTGAGCCGTGTCTTCTTTGTGGCTATTTCTGTGCGCAAATGCAAAGAAAGGCATTGTTTCTTTGTTCACAAGACAGCAAAAGCAGGCAGACCTATGTTTTCGGCATGCCACTTGATCAAGCTGATCAATTGACGTACTACAGCAAGCCTAGACTGCTGGTCCAGGGCAGTGTTGGATCGCCTTCGAGAGAGGGGGGATAGGTAGCCTGCGGTCAGTCTTTGTTTTCGGACATCTAGGTCAATGGAGTGCATGGTCCTGGATGTATGGAAATGAACTAGCTGTGACATTACTGCCGTCAAGGTTCAAGAGGGGAAGGGAGGAAAGTAGACTGACTACGTTGCTGGATGCTGGTCGAGAAGCTGGAACCTGGAACTGAGAGGTGACGGCGGCCGTTCAAGTTGGACGCAAGCACTTTGCCCGATGTGGTAGTCTTGTGAGGCGCGATTCCGTCCCGCTACCGCGTCGGCGTCGCGCAGGCTGTAGTGCTCTGTAGTCCATGGTTTGTCTGCTGTCAATCTGCCATTTCACATCCTCCAACCCTGCCTATCAATTGAACACGTATCTGGTCTTGTGGCTTCTTCGCGCCATCTGCAAACACCGCCCTCGCCTTCGCCCTCGCCCTCGCCCACCGAAATATTCAAATCTCGTCCTTCTTGCAGATTCCTCAACATAAACCCTCCACCATTCCAGCCAAAATCACACCTTATACGATGTCTTCCCTCCTTTTCCCCGCCCGGCGCATGGTCTCCAAGGTGCCGACCTTGTCCGCTCGCACGTTTTCGACCACTCGGCCGGCACAGCTTGCGCGCCTGACGCTGGTAGGCCGCTTAGGAGCAGACCCCGAAATCAGCGAGACTCGTTCCGGCCATGTGATCAAATATGTAATCGGAACCAGCCACGGACCAAGAGACAATCGACAAACTTCGTGGTTCCGCGTCGCTGCTTTCCCGCCAGAAGGTGCCCAAAGAGACTTTGTGTTGGGTTTGAGTAAAGGGTAAGTTTAGGAGCACTCCAGGGCTACAATTCATGGGACTTCAGCTGATGGTGGCCACAATAGAACACTTGTGTACCTGGAAAGTGACGCTACGATGCGCACGTACGAGGATTCCGAGGGCAAGAAGCAGAGCTCGTTGAATTTGATACAGACGAAACTGGAGGTGTTGAAGCGGCCACAACCGCGAGAGGAAGAAGGTACATCAGACGGGCTTGGAGCTTGAGTATCTCGGTGGTCACATACCTAGGTCTGGGTGCTGAAAGGAAAGGAATGGGACGATAGGAACAATTCCACTCTGCTAAAAGAGTGTCGGGCGCTATTCTGGTTTATGGAGGTTGACTTGGAGCGATTCCCCCTTAGCCCTACGCCGCTCATGGCTTTGACTTTGGAAGGACTTTGGTCTGTCGAGACGTACGCATGTAATCCACTTCATTATGACAATCCACGCCGGCATTGAGAAACGGCCTCGAACTCTGATAAGAGCAGTGCCTGTAGAACATTGATGGTCCAGGTCACCAGGGGTCAAGTCAAGGCAAACTCGGCGCGAGGGAGCACTCCCGCTCCCAGTTGATGGGGGTGGTGTTTGCCACGAAACATGCACCGAGTCGGCAACCAGCGTTGCGTCATCTTCAGCCACGAATGGTATATTTGAGTTGCTTCCTTGCCCAGTCCGAAGAAGAGGAAAAATAGAAAGCCAGTGGCGATCTGTGCCCAGCGGTCGAAAGTGAGTCGCTCGGTGCTCGGGACGAGGATGATTCTTTCAGCCCAATCCGGAGGATGGATGAATGCCCAAGAGTAGCGATGCCGCGGGATGCTGACATTTTCCGCAAAAGCGAGGATTGCCAATGGACAGTAGCCTAGTAGTAAAGTGAACCCCAATGCGAAGAGGCGCAAAAAACGGGAAGACGTGACTCCGGGGGTGCTGGACAGAACAGACGACATCTCCTTTCTGTGTCTCCAGAGCCGGATGACTGAAAGCGCGCAGTAGATGCTTCCCATCAGGCAGACAAGAACCGGCCACAGAAAGATGAGGAGAAGCGTCGGCCAGCAAGTATCAAATGCAGGCGTGCACCCGGCAGAAGTCGTGAGCCAGTATCTGTCGTTTTGGACCAGGTAGTGGGCGGCCATGACAAGGACAGGCAGCATAATACACAACAAGATCTCCACGGCGAGCCGTGATCTGCGTTGTTGGGGACTCGGTGCTACTGTCATTCGATCCGTATCAAGGATCATAGCTGTTTGGCGGAAGATGCTTGCAACAGCCCCGTCAGCAGCCACGGCGATCCCAATGTAGAGTTTGACTTCGATGTCGCAGAGGATCTTCCCATTCCACCAGCTGTAGCGGTCTTGTGAAGCCCAGATGATAGCATTGGCAAAGTTTTGGACGTTCAAGATGGTGACGCCGAGGATGAGGACGGTAGCTGCAAAGTTCCGAGCCTTGAAGTGAACAAGCAGGGGAGGGATCGACACGAGGCAGGCCAGCAAAGCAACGGCAGGAATCGTGATGCCGGGGGCTATCCAAGGCATGTTGCAGCTGTAGTGAAAGCCACCGAGTTCGAATGGTGCATCGCAGACGGTTCAAGAGAGGACAGAAGGGGCAAGGAAAGGCTTGCAAGGAACGCAGAGAAGAGAAAGCCACCGACATGATGAGGTCTCACAAGCTGTACAGGTACCCCCATCACTTGTTTGCTCAGTTTAACAGCTGACCGTGCCGCCGCAGTGAGCAGACCTAGTGAGGAACCAGTGTATCAGAGACATGTAGCCCAAAATGGAGTTGAATAAGAACTGCTGCCCGGCGAAGGCCTGCGCAGCATAGCTTAGCAAATCCAACCCCACGTAGAGTCGGTCCTCTACACCATAGCATGAGAAGGTCAGATATGCAGAGCCCGCCTCGGAGGTGAGTAGGAGTAGCAGGGGAGCAGCATCAATGCCATGTCCCGATTGCGACGGCGGTGCAGAGGTAGTGGTAGCATGTTGAATACGATCCTCATCGCACTATACTATCACATGCCACCCGTGGGAGGAACAATTCGCGCAGATTGGACTGCGATGGCAGGTGTCATGTTCTCCTTGCGGTTTGTTCTGGCACAACCAAAGCACAAGCTGTTCAATCAGAGCATCTCGATGGAGGGAGAAAAGGAGGCCGAGTGCCAGTTGATGGCGATGGTGATGGTGACAGGTGCCAAGCATCTCCCGCGCTCCGAGCCATTCACAGTGCTTCCTCCCCTTTTGCCGTGCCCGTGTGATTGTACGGAGGACTTATCATACTTCAACGGGGCCTAGGGCCTCGTCAGACTATATACTTAAGTATCTAGTACGAAGTATATACGACGCGTCTAGTTAGCGCGTCGAAGTACCTTAACGTCTTTATAAGCCTTAGTAAAGCACCGAGGCACGTGCTGTCACACCCGTGCCTGTCCTAGTCCCCGTGACCTGTAGCGGCAGGGCAGCGGCAGTGGCATCCGAGTCAGGCAACACCGTCATCAATCGTCTTCTCCCCCCTTCTCCATTTCTTCTATTTCTCCTCCTGCTGCTCCTCCTTCCCCGGATCTGCGTCCCACTGCCCAACAAGCGCGACCTGTTTCGGCCCATTCTTCTTTCGACGTTGTCAACATCCAACATCCAACATTCAGCATCCAACATCGGCAGATATCATCCAGAGCCTTAGCCCTCCCAAATACCCTGTACTCGTATATCGTCAAGGCCCGGTGCCCTTTCCCCCTCCGTCTGTTTCCAGTCTGCTGCCTTCTCGCCTCGTCCCCGTGGCTGTTTTGCAGGCTCTCGAGCAGCAGCTTGGACGCGGCTTTTCTTCAGGCACCGTATTCCGCACCGCCGGGAGAGCGTGTCAGGGCAGGTCTACTCCTCACTCCTCACCTCTGCTGGCCCCTGGGTACCTGGCCATGATGCAATAATACGTCATCAGTACACCTGGCCCAATCTGACTGGTTCTCCTCAAGAGGCTGCGTTTGCGACGCGTGGTGACTTTTATCTTCGTCAACAATCTCGCCTGCGTGCAAGCTCATGTTAGCTTCACCATGGCATCGGAAAGACCTCCGTCGATCACCTTCCCTCCCCCAATTCAGACCGGCCGTCGGGTTAGTCCTTCACCACATGGCTTAAGGCAACGCCCTTTGGGCAGAGCATCTACCCTCATCGAGAGCAATGCACAGCTCAGTCGGCGACGAAGCTCATTTCTCTCCGAGACGCTTTCGGAGACGAGAAAGTCCTTCCGCTCTTCCACCGATGATATATTGTTGCCGCGGCCGAAAGGGGCATCTGACCTCCAGGATGATGATGATACGTCCCACTGGCAGTCGCTACCTCTGGTCCTGGCCTTGCTTCCTGCTGTTGGCGGGTTGCTGTTCAAAAATGGAAGTGCCGTCATCACCGATGTCACCCTCTTGGGTCTGGCTGCAATATTCATGAATTGGGCTCTTAGGTCGCCATGGTAAGCCGTGGCTCTTTGCCCTTCGCTCCTTGAACTCCGCTCATGAAACGTACAGGGATTGGTATCGTGCAGCTCAGAGTACGGCCCTGGCCGACCCCCCATCTCCAACTGCGATGACACCGACCGACGAAAGTTCAGAGCACCAAGGTGCCGCAACCGCGCCTGGTGACGGAGACGAAGGTGTTCCTGCAGAACCCCGCCTCAGAGCCAGTCCTTCCAGTGTCTTTGATGCGGAACGGGCATCTGCACAGAAAGAGCTTCGGATCCACGAGCTTCTAGCCTTGTTGTCTTGCTTGGTCTTCCCGCTGCTGGCCGCTTGGCTTCTCCATGGGATCAGGTCACAGCTAACCCGGCCATCCGAGGGACTGATCTCGAACTACAACCTTACCGTCTTCATTTTGGTGGCAGAAATTCGCCCCCTGTCCCATCTGATCAAGATGGTACAGCGGAGGACGCTCTTCTTGCAGCGACGCGTGAATGTGGAGGTTCTAAAAGAGAAAACCCAATCAGACGGCCAACAACTCCGGGATCTCACACACAGATTGGAGGAATTGGAGACCCACATTGCAGATCGTATCGCTGGATCTGGCGAGCAATCGAACGACCAAGCTGGTGACGTGCTGGCAGCTAAGGTATCGGAACTGGCGACATTGGATGTGAGGAAGACAGTGCAGCCCGAACTCGACGCTCTTAGTCGCGCGATGCGCCGGTATGAGAAGAGAAGCACCATTTCGTCGGTTCAGATTGAGGCGAGGCTGGAGGACCTCGAAGTGCGATTGAACGATGTCGTCGCCCTTGCTGCTGCTGCTCAGCGGAACGCTGATCGAAGGCCAGACACTTATATTGTCATGCTTACCAACTGGGCCTGTGCAGCCATCGTCTTGCCGCTTCAGTATATCCTCTTTGTTGCCACTCTTCCCAGCAAGCTTGTGGGCGCGGCCGTCGCGGTGCCGAAAAAGTACTTGGCCAGAAGACGCAAATTCCAGACAACGAAGGAAGGTCGGTCGTCTCGAAGAACCCCTGTGCGGCCGAATGAGCGTGAAAAGAGACTCAAAGTCATGCCGTAGACGCATGAGACAATGGATCATGGTTGTGGGTGGGCAGTGTGCTTTGGTGAACAGAGAATCATTAGAGAGGGAGGCCAGGGTCGGGATCTCCGTCAACAGAATGATGCGGAACACGCTTCAACGCTTGACAGCGGAATCCCGCTCTGTTGTTCTGCTGGTCAACAGAATGATGCGGAACATGCTTCAACGCTTCACAGCGGAATCCCGCTCTGTTATTCTGCTGCGCCTGCGCCCGTTGTTTATCATGTCTCTGTCAAATTTAGCACACACTACGCACGCCTCAATTTTCGCTCTCGCAAGGCTATCTACTCGAAAGCAATCCAGCGGCAGCACTCAAGCATTAGAGAATCCCAGGCTCCTCTGGACAGCATCGAGTTCCCTGTTTCCACTGGTCTGCTCCTCTTTCAAGCAAAGGTCTTCCAGAGATCCGCTATCCACGTCTTTCGTTGCCCTCTTGACATTTCTCTGGCTGAGAGATCCACAAAACCATGCCTCAGGTACGCATTCGACAAGAGGACGGCGTGACGGTGAGCAAATGGGTCGACATCAACTACGATGCTAAAGTCGCGGCCTCGGCCTCAAACGGTATCTCTCAGTCCTTGCCCTTGTCCCAGACTCAGCTAACAATCATAAGGTGGCATCCTGCCCTTCTCACCCGCCCTCTACACTTCAGACTTTCCACACAAATCCGTATGGAGCAAGGAGAACTTGCCTGAGGTCCTGCTCTATCTTGAACCTCCGCCCAGTCGGTACAGTGGTATCAAGGTCGAACCGCTCCTTGATAATGGAGTGCCCGTTCTTGGTGATGGAGGTACTCCTCTCCGAGCCTTGGAAGTGCTCCCTCGCCACATCAGCGTTGATGTTGAAGGTACGGTAATCTGATAACACGGAAGTTCACTTATTAACAGCTTTTAGGCTGGCTTGTCGAAACCTGGCGTCGAATCGACTCCCGAATCAGATACAGCGATATCCTTGACCGCATGGTCGCAGACCCTACATTTGGTGGAATAGGTCTCAAGAAGCCCAGCCCCAATATCCTACAGAACAACTGTGGGCGTGGATGCCGGAAACTCCTAAATACCTGGACCGGGCATATCAACCGAGAAGAGCCGCACCGCACCGAGGTCGAGGCCATCGAGGAATTGACGTCGCATCACCTGACCTACAATACAGTCCTGGATGTCAGTGAGCTCTTTCCTACTCGACTTGTCAAGGTCAAACTTGTCCAGCGGGTCGACTACTCTCCCCTTCATGTTGAGAAGTACGAAGTCAGTGTGACCAACTGGCAACACACTACGCTTCCCCTGGACCATTTTATCAGAGGGGCGGGTCCCAGAGTGAACAACGGTATGGACAACGCCAAACTAACAGCCTGGGAGTTACTGTTGGTGCTCCAGGAGCGGGCTCGAAACCACGATCTTCAGCACTGGTCTAAGCTACCCAATTCATGTCTTCCTGTCACCTGGTTCGAACGCACCCGAAACAAGCAGGAGCCTAATGACACCTTTGATGGCGGGTGCGACTTGTGCACATGGTCTTCAGACTATGCTGCGGCGACGCCGGAGGTTGACAGCGCCAAGCAGAAGACAAACACGACGCAAACCAAGCGGCGTGCAGAGGACAATGAGGGCGACAGCGCCCCAAAGCGGCTGCAGACGGCAGCACCGCCGGCACAACAGCCTCAGCCCAGCAACGTGGTCCAACACAGCTGGGTGCCAGTAGGTGCGGTTCACGCCCCGGTTGGACAGACGGGCCTGTACAACACATACTCAGGACAGCCGCCCTTGTACAACTTGCCCACAAACCCGTCGATGCCTCACAACTTCAACGGTTTTGCCAGCAACTCGTGGATGCCGCCCACTGCCAACACTTTTGCCAGCAACCCGCCCATGATCCCTGCTCTCAACAATCTTGACAGCAACTCCTTGGCCCCGGATTCTACGGAATCTGGGATCCCACCGAGGATGACCCTCTCGACCCTCTCGACCCCAACTTGAACCTTTGGGGCGACCTCTGATGTTCTTGGAAATATCAGTGATCGGTTGGCTCAGTGAGAGCTATGTCAGACTGTCACACCACACGGTCGATTGGGTCTTGTGATGGGGGATGTTGGCTTTGGGGCGCTCGCTGGTTCAACTCGACGATCGGGCTAGGGCATGGCACCACACGATTGGTCCAGCCTTGTAATGGGGAACTTTGCCTTTGGGGCACTTGCTGGTTTCACCCGACGACCGGGTTGTACGGAGCCCCGTAATGGGGTCATGAACGAGCTGTTTGCTTTGCGCAACTATGGGCTTGCCACGCTTTGCTTGGAGATCGTTTGGAGAGACTCTGACCGTTGGTCAGGAGAGATAGCTCCCAATAAAAGCATGGCCTTGTTTGAAAAGAAAACTTTAGAGATTTTGCGTGCACGTGTAATAATTCTCTAGTCCCCATCTCATCTAACGAGAGTCTATGTCCAGAAGGGGGTCATGTGCAATACGGCACGACCACTAGGCCAAGACGTGGCGTCGACTGATATTCTATCTGTAGCATAATCAAGATTCCTCGTACAGAATCAGGCTATCCAGCGAGCTAAAGCCGGCGGCGACGCCACCCTCGTCGCTCTCCTTGCCCTTGGTGCGCAGCAAGTAGCCGCCTTCGGCGTTGTGCAGGATCTGCGGCCTTGCGGAGCGCAGCGGATTCCTCCACAGACAGGTGCCGAAGATGCCGAGTTCGGAGACGACGTTGCCGCGGACGACCTGGCCGTCGCTACGGAGGACGGTGTTTTTGGCCGCGGGGGGCGGGCGGATCAGCTCCATCAAGATGTACTGCTTCCATTGAGAGCGGGGTATGGAGCCGAGGAAGGGCGGGATGTTGGTGCGGTAGATGTTGTTGCCGCCGCCTTCGCGCTGGGGTTTGAGCACGTGGTTGGCGGCCAAGGCTTCGGATAATGCGAGGCGGATCCCTTCCGGCTCGGCCTCGGGGCTCGTGCTAGAACTGGTGGTAGTCGAAGATGGTGAAGACAGCGAGTACTGTGGTGCAAATGTCGATCGGAGGTTGTCCAGCGTGGCGGTGGGGTGGTCGGGAAGAAAGGCCTTCAGGTGGTCCGGGCCAGGGGGTCGCGAGGTCAGAACTTGCTGGACCTTCTTGGAGCCGGACAGCTGCAACAGCACACTGGGACATTTGATGGCGGCACTGCGCTCGAGGTGGTGTCGAGCTGCCCAGGATGTCGAGGCGGCGTATTCTGTCGGCGCGTACCAGGCTCGGAAGTAGACGACAGTCACCTCGTACTGGGTCGACGGGGACGACGGCGGGGTGTAGATCAGCGGACGAGCTGGGTTTGCGTCCGGAGATGGGATGGATGTCAACTCGAGGACTTGGCTCGTGGGTAGGCGGAAGGACGGGATCTTGTGTTCCTTGTACAAGAACGTCGAAAGGGCTAGCTGGTCGAAGACGTTGCGTTCCCCGTCCTGCACGAGAAAGATGACGCACGTCGGCAGTGGCGGAGTCGACTTGGACGGCCCATACGCTTGGTGGCCGGCTGCGAGGCCGGCGGTTAGTGTGGCCACGGCCGCATTGGTCGGAGGGTGGCCGACGGAGTTGATGGCCGATGGTTGATCAGGCGAGCTCGAGTTGCCAAAGAGAGGATGAGGAGGGTACGCCACTGAATTGGCCGGGGAGGGGTACGTCGCGAGGCTTGTGTGCAGCTCTGCCACCAGGCAGGCTAGGCCGCCAAAGGAGGACGAGATGGTGTTGAACTCGACTTGCTTCAGAGACGGCGGCGCCGCTTCGTCGTCCTCCGGGGCGTGCAGCATGTAGTCGGAGCGGAACAGCCCTAGAGTCAGGTCCTGGACGTAACCTTCCTCTTTGACGGACAGGTGGATCTTCCACAGATTAGCCAGGAAGTCGTCTACTTCGATCAGTCTGCATGGCGACGCCCAATGTCAGTAAGAACAGAGTCATGTCAAGTGGAGGGGCTGGGCGGTTAGAAAGACCCCCAACTACGACCCCCAAGCTTGTGGATCTGGCCTGAAGGCCGTGGCTGTGCACGAGGAACGCTAACATACTCTTTTATCACATCCTCAAGCCACTGCTCGTCGCTGGCCACCGCAGCATACAGTTCGTTGTAGACCTGCTGGAGACTCCGGGCCTGGTCGAAGCACGACTTGGGAAACGGACTAGGAAACAGAGTGACCGGTGCATTCGTGGCCAGCACATGGTTCGGGTTCGCCTCTTCGGAGACTATTGCGCTCGATGGCCGGACCGCCAATGCATGCTCTATCGACCAATTCTTGACCGTCTGGACGAGGTACTTCTCTTGGTCCGCAGTCAATGGCGGGGGATATTCGCTGTAGATGTTGTAGGCCATTGTTGCCGATATTGCCAGACGAAAAAGGATTCAGCGTCGCAGTCGCATGGGGGGCGAGAGCAGATCAACCGTAGACTGAGCCGAGCAAGGTCACGGTAGAGGGCGTGTCAAACCAAAGGAATTTGCAAAGTTGCAGTTGGATCTGGGATCACGACAGGGTACGCCGAGTCAGCAGGCAGATCGTGGTTTCGTGTCATCACGTGCCAGTGGTACTTTTCGTAGACTCGGCAAACTTCCCTCGCCGAACTTGAAGCACGTGCAAGCAAGCGCAAGCGAAACCACTTTACACGCTTCTCTGGGACGGCAGACTGCGGCCTACAGACTGCGCGAAGAATGACTGGTCGTCTTCCGCCCCCACAGCATCCAACGTACTTGGAACCTTCTTGTCTTGGTCTAAATCCCAATTCACCATCGCCCAAATACCTCTGCCTTCTACTACCTCGCCGCCCCTCCCACAGCAGTCTCCTGGTGGCAGAGTCTGGCCGTGGACATTTGAACATGCGAGCAGGCGAACTCCGCGCAGACTGCCTCATGTGTCGACCGTTTGTGGGATCAGGCTCTGTCTTCTTCACCTTGAATCTTGAGCGCTTGTCTTTTTGTTCCTCAGCCTGTTTCACTTCTTCTTCGTCAACAGTATTCCGAAAAGGCCTGACGAAGGTCTCTATTGCACCTTAATATCGCCCTCAATTGTTGTTCACTTGCCTGCGCTTTTCGTTCCTGCGAGTCTTCACAATCCACTTCACCTCGGACTTCTGTCTCTATGACCAACTTCCTCGGGGATTTTTGTTGCTTCAATCACCTCTTCATCTCCACCCCTCAACGTCTGGTGAGCAACGATGGAGGTTTCTGCCGAGTCTGACAATGACCCCTGCGGCTGGTCGATCGATCAGGTCGTCTATGAACTTTGCCAGAATCCAACCCCAAGATGGTCGCCCGCAGAACGGCCTCAGTTGATACCAGATCGGCATGTTCTCGAGGACACTTTGCGGCAGAATCATGTCGACGGGGACAACTTCCTGGCGTTGGATCTCGTTGCTCTCAAGGAAGACTTGGGTATTGCATCGTTTGGTCAAAGAAGAGCCATCATGAGAGCCATCGAATACTTCCGTGCCCATTCTATAAGCTGGCAGCATTCGGCTTTCCGGGTAGACAGCATCGCCAGAATGCAACCACAGTCTCTAGCCTACACGAGCACGCAGATCGCCCAATCGCACACTTCAGCTTTTCCTCAGACTCCATATTCAGGACTTGGAATCTACCCTTCCGTCGAGTCAATGCCACCCACAGCTTCGCCCTTGTCGTACAGGACTACTGGTCAACCAGGATTTGCGACGGCGCTTAGTCCACACGGGCACGCTTTGTTGGAGGCGAGCAATGCTTCATTTACAGTGCCGTTGAACGCTACCCCGTCATCTCTTCAACATCCCGTAGTTAACCCTACTGCCCCAGACCCTCCAAAGGCCCTGAGCCTTGTCACAAATGATACCACCGCACGGGATGCTTCGAAGAGGCCGAGGCAAGGGTACGAGGTCGTCAAGGGCAAAAAGAAAATTGCACCGACCCTTGTCTCACAAACAGAAGAAATCACCGCCACGGAAGCCGTCGGGACCGCATATCTCTCACCATCCGCAGTACCTCTGCAGGATGTCTTCTATCACAAAATCTCCACGGATTTTGGCGATGTTTTCTATCGCGCCCCTCTTGATACCTCTGACGACTTTTTCATCAGTGGCCGTTATCCTGAAGGCCAGAGAAAAGTGATCGCGCGACGCATCAAACACTTCCTTCGTCAGGATGTTGTCAAACTCTCGCAAGCTAATACCCTCATCAAGCTTCCTTATAGCCACAATCGACTTCAAGAACCGTTTTCCGAACAATACTTCACCATGTTTCCGCGGCGCGGTGGGCAGATTAGAGTGTTTCGAGTGGAGGATTTCCCGGAAGTGCAGAAAATTGTAACCAAAAAGTCTGAAATTCCTGCTACCAATACAATATTGAGCGAGCACCACTCCAACAGCCATACTGATCCGGCGAAGGAAGACTCGGAAGATACATCAAACTGGCATGACCTAGATTACTTACTTGACAAGTATCCAGTCGAAGGTTCGGACGAAGGGCTCCCAGTCTACGGGGATTCAGGCGATGAAGGAGACCTTGACGAAGAAACTTGGAGAGAAATACAAGAGGAACAAGATGAGAACAGCCGGGAGCCGGTTACAATGACTCATGCTGAAATCGTGGCTGCCATCGACGAGACAATCGAAGAAATGAAACAAGAGTGGCGTGACACCAAACTTGTAAAGGTCCAGTTGAAGGCTTACCGTCTCTGGACAGAGGCTGCTAAGAGAAGAGATCGCCGAGACAAGCTTGGGTACGTGATCCGAGAGAAAGACCGTTTCGAGAGGATGAAGACCAAGATTCAGCGTGCACTGGCAGATGACATCTGGCGCACTCCAGCCGAACTCAAGAAGCAATGCCAGAATATCGAGTTGGCAGTGTTCCAGTATGAAGAGTTTAACTACTACAATCAGGTGCTACTTGATGACAATCCACCTACACGTCCAAGCTCAGCAGCGCTCAAAAAGGCTCGCACTCGGAAACCGCAGGAGCTATCAGAGGGCGAGGAACTTCTTGAATCAGATTCAGATCCCATAACTGAGGATGAAGACTTTCTCGTGGATGATTCTTCCGATGCTGGCTCTATTCACCATGAGCCAGACCTAGACTGGAATCCATTGATCTCTGAGGTCACCAATAAGACAAGCGTACAGCCTGTGGCACAACATGTGGCACAACATGTGGCGCAACCTGTGGCGAGACCAGTCTTTCCCCCTCCGGTTGAGAACACTCCACAGAGCTCAGAAACGGCAACACCTAGTCCAGTTGAGCGGGCTGCATCAATACCGGTCGACACTCGCACACACGGTGAGGATGACGCAGATATTGACAGCGACACCGGCGAAGACGCAATCGTAACGCCTATGCGTCGCCCCTTGAGACTCGAGATTAGCGCTACTCCGTCTGTTAAGATCAAGAGCGCTCCCACAACGCCCTTTGCCTCTCGTGTACTCGAGCAGTCCTCAAACCCTCAGAGAAAGGGTTCTGATTCCGAAAATTCGGATTCGGATTTGGATCGCCCGCCACGCCTTCCAAAGAGCAAATATCGTGCACAGGGTCGGACAGTAGCGGAACCTGTGGATTTGACCTTTTCGAGTCCTGCTTCGGAAAATGAATTGACGACTCATGAGGAGGCCAGTACAGACTTCGAAGTGCACACTCCAGAACTCAATCCTACCCCGATGCAAACTCCGCAGAGGCACAAGACCAAGACTTCGAGTTCCGTGTCGTCCATGGCGGACTCTGCTAGTCTCTCCTCTGAGGATGATTCTGGACTACCTCATATTGAGAACGTGGAGGGTATGATTGCTACAGATTGGTCTGACATCGAGGCCCTCGTTGACCGACGCCGGGCTCTTGCCAAAGCCGTCTATCAGCTTGATGCAGAGACGATTGAATATCTCAGCCTGTTTATTGAGTCTCGGAAAACCTTCACTAGGCGCAGAGATGTCATCTTTGACGGGCTGCTGGCCCTCAGTGAAGTTTATGATGATAGTGGTGACGGTTATAACGATATCAGAGCCATCGGAACAGCACAACAAAGCAGCGCTCAGCTTTTGGTTCTTTTGTACATCACATATGTTTGTGGTCAAAATATGGTTGGAGACTCTGCACCATCTGAAGCACATAAAGACTGTGCGTTTGATGATATGGAAACAACGGTTGATCCTTTCTACAGCTTACTGCAACATATCATTCGGATCTACGTCCACAAAGAGAAGCAGGACCCGACCCTACTGCAGCAACAAAGTACAAAGAAGAAAAGAAAGAGAGAACGCCCCCTTTCTGATGCGGATATGTGGGACCATGAACCGCTAACTGATGTTATATGGGGCGATCCGTTGGAACCTTACGTGCCACCATCATCACACAAGAAGCGGAAACGTAAAGTCCTGGACAGTCAACAAGCTATTGATATGCAGCAAAGTGATCAAGTCCGAATTCAGCAACAGGAGCAACGACGCCAACAGTTGGCCATGAAGCTAACTCAGATGGCAGAAGAAGGAGACAATCGACATCCGATCAACACTATAGAGCCGTACATCTACCTCCATCCCCATATCTCAAAGCGCATCAAACCACATCAACTCACCGGTATTCAGTTTATGTGGCGCGAATTGATTGAAGATCCGAAGCACCAAGGCTGCATCCTGGCACATACTATGGGACTTGGAAAGACGATGCAGGTAATCTCCCTACTGGTAGCAATATCACTGTGCAACCAAAGCAGTGACGCTACGGTCCGTGACCTCATTCCAGCGCGGCTCCGGAAGAGCAGAACCCTTATCCTTTGCCCTGCTTCACTGGTGGAGAATTGGCTTGACGAATTGCTCTTGTGGACTCCTTCGAACGATGTTCTCGGTACAATCTACAAGCTGGACACATCAAACACAGGCACGCTTCACGAGTGGTCCAGACATGGGGGAGTTTTACTCACGAGCTACGAGAGGTTCAGGAGAATGGTCTCGAAGAGTATTGGTGCCAAAGATAAGGGAGGCCACATTGATGTGGAAAAGATTTTTTTCGAAGATCCGACCCTTGTAATTGCAGACGAGGCACACAAGCTCAAGAATTCCACATCCACGATAAACCAATATGCGAAGCGTTTCAAGACGACAAGCCGTATCGCGTTGACTGGTTCGCCGCTCAACAATCACCTTGAGGAGTACTACACTATGGTTGACTGGATTGCCCCCGGCTATCTTGGGACGATTGTGCATTTTCGGTCCAAGTACTCCGAACCTATCATTGAAGGGCTGTACAGTGACAGCAGCGCATTTGAGAGACGTCTGTGTCTTCGCAAACTACATGTCCTCAAGCGGGATTTGGATCCGAAAATCAATCGAGCCGATATTTCTGCCATCGAGAAAGACATGCCGACCAAGACCGAATTCTTCATCACGGTCCCGCTTACGGAGCTGCAGAAACGAGCCTATAACATATACGTCAAGTATATGCTAGAGACATTCAGCCGAACAAATGCGAAGTCGCGGAATGCGAAGATGTGGGACTGGATCGCAATGCTGTCATGGCTTTGCCATCACCCTTTTTGCTTTCTGATAAAGCTCAAGGAACGCATCGCCAAGATAGATGAGGAGCTCGATTTCTCCCTCTCCACCGCTGCTGCTGCTGCTGCTGAAGAGAGCAAGGATGCAGCCCCGAATCAGCTAGCTGATATAACATCACCTGAGAATGTGAAGGAGGACGCGCAACTTGATACTACGGGGCCTTTGAATGAAGCTATGCAGCAGGTCCTTGAACTCTTCAAGGAGGTGGACATTCCCGGAGTCATAGATGACCCTACACTCTCTTATCGTACATTTGCGGTACAGCAAATCCTGAAAGAAGCAAACGCAAACGGCGACAAGACACTGGTTTTCACTCACAGCATTCCGACCTTGAACTATCTGGAGAAGATGTTGAAGATGATGAAGTTCCCGTACTTCAGACTAGACGGCAAGACCGATGTCTCGACGCGCCAGGCTTCGACCAAAGATTTCAATCAAAAGAATACTTCGCAGGTATTTCTGATATCGATGAGGGCAGGAGGTCTTGGATTGAATCTACAAGGTGCAAATCGCGTCATCATATTCGATTTCAGCTTCAATCCTTCGTGGGAAGAACAGGCCATTGGGAGGGCGTATCGGCTCAACCAGAAGGCGCCGGTCTTCGTCTACCGTTTTCAGTCAGGAGGTACCTTTGAAGACGTGCTCTTTAATAAGGCTGTTTTCAAGACACAGCTTTTTGGGCGCGTGGTGGACAAGAAAAAGCCCAAGCGTCACGCCTCCAAGTCAACTGCAGACTATCTGTTCCCAGTCAAGGATGTTCCTCGGCAAGATTTTGCAGATTGTCTGGGAAAGGACCCGAAGGTGCTTGACATTGTCATACAGCGCCTGGACTGTGTTCGCAGCATCGTGCTGACAGAGACATTCCAGAAGGAAGAGGATGAGCAGTTGAATGATGAGGAGCAGAAAGCCGCCGAAGAAGAATTCCGGGACCAGCGTTTACAGCGAGAGGATCCGGTAGCATGGCAAGCAAAGCAAGCAGCTCTTTATGCTTCTGCCACCCGATTCCCCTATCCAAGCACGCACCCGGGTCCAGTGCCTGGGGCCTACCCTCCTCCTATGCCATCCTCGACGGCTCCATCATTTCCCTCCCGGGGTGGTGCTGTTAGTCAAGCGAGGCCTGCACAGCCCGCTGCCATAATGCCTCCATTTGCAAGACAGGACTTCGATGCTCCACCGGACGGTCACCCTAATCAATTCCCGTCGAGTACTATGCCCGGAGCCCTTCTCTCGTATGACGACACTTTCCAGGACTTCGTCGACCAAATTGACCACCGTCGTGCGGGAAGTCTAGACCCTGACATCCTGATGTCATGAAAGCGAGCATACAGTACGGAGTGCTTGAGTCAGAATCGACGACGCAGACTATCTTTGGGCTTGAAGGCAGGATCGCTGATTCAGTGCTTGGGAGCGGATCCCGGAGGAGGAAGTTGAAAATGGATGCACAGTTTGCATGGCGACGATGTTTTATTAGATTAGTTTTCTGCTTTACTGGGCTGGACAGGCGTTTTGTGGACAGGAAGATACCCCTTGCGAGCACTTCATTGTGATGGGCCGGCGAAAAAAGGGTTTACGAAGCACATGATATGGGCGCTTGATGACATACATACCTTACGAGCGAAGATTCACACGATTCACACGACATGAGCTGAATGACGAGGCGTGTGTTCTAGCAGACGGTCCAAGGTCAACCTTGGCTGGAATTGGAACTTTCAATTAAGGAATGAATGACGAATATGCAGCTTCTTTGTAGATGTTGAGCAGTCCACATGGCTGAGCTTTAGATTACTACCAAATAAGTTGATGTGAATAGTTCCTCAACCCGGGATTGGGTTGGAGATGACATATGACATACTGCATCTGTCCGGAGCAGTGGCTCATTCTTTCAATCGTACAGAAGGGAAGGGGAAGGGGTTGACAATTGGAGATATCTACCTTATCCACTGTGATTAATTGATGGTGTAAGAAACAACGAACAACAAACTTGGGTGTTGCCAATGCATGGTCTTCCACCTCGGCTTTGCGTCCACCCACCAGCGCAGAAATGGCATTCAAGTTGACCTCGCATGTCTCGGCGGATATATTTCTTCACGTGCCGGAACCTCTGACAGGAAGGAGAACGGCAGCGGCAAAAGTCGGCTCTGGCTCTGGTTCTGATTCTGATTCTGGCTCTGGCTCTGATTCTGACGCTGACGCTGACCCTGACGCTGACCCTGACCCGGACGCTGGCGGCAGTGGTAGTGGCGGCGGTAGAGGCGGCGGTAGTGGTGATGGTAGTGGTAGTGGTAGTGGTGATGGTAGTGGTAGTGGTAGTGGTGATGGTGATGGACACGCAACGAGGCCGAGGCCGCCGCGGAGAGACAACTGGTCGACCAGCAAGAATGGGAATAGGAATAGCGGAACACCTTCAGGCTCAGGCGAAAGCAGTGGTGCAGGGAGCGATTCTACGAGGCGGCAGCAACAGCGGCGGCGGCAGCAACAGCTCACAATTGTGTTCTTCATCACTGGAAACCCCGGCTTGATTTCTTATTATCATCCCTTCCTGTCGCTCGTCGCGGCGGATTTGGAGAGGAGTCCGAGATACGACCAGACCGAGAACGAGGACAAGAACGAGAATGAGAACGAGAAAGAGTCGCGAGATCATGTCGTCGTGGTTGCGGGGTTCAGTTTGGGCGGGTTCGAGGTCGAGTGTTGGACCGGAAACAAGACTAAGACCAGCCGAGGGACAGAGGGAGAGGGAGAGGGAGAGAGCGTGAGAAAAGATGAGCATGCCCATGTGCGGATGGATGAGTTGCTTTATCCTCCCGTCAGGTTCCCTTGTCTGAGCGAAGGCTTAGGCCAGCGCCAGCATTCACATTCAGGTTCAGGTTCAAGCAGGTCGCAGTCACAACCGCAAGAGCAGTCGCAAGATCAAGATCAAGACCAAGACCAAGACGAGAGTGACAAGTCTCAGCCCAAAGAGCCAAAGGAGCAAACCGCCCAGCCTAGCCCATGTGAGGACGACGACAACGACGACGACAAAACCAATACCAGACTCTACTCGCTCCGTGAACAGATCGAATTGAGCTATGCGCGCCTCGAGAAGTTGGTCGACACGCTTCGTAACCACAACCACAACTGCAAAGACGGCCTGTCGACAGCTAAGGCCGCCTCGACTGGACCGGGAGACGGAACAGCAGCCTTGGAGACGGGAGAACAGGAACAAGAACGGGAACGGGAACAAGATCAGGAACAAGATCAGGAACAGCAACGGGAACAAGAGCCAGGCCGTGACCCAACGCAAGGACAAGTGCCGGAACCGCAACCGCTCGTCAATGTTGTGCTCGTGGGCCACAGTGTCGGCGCGTACATTGCGCTAGAGATTGTGAGGCTACGGCATGAACGGCATGGATTTCGTCAATCGTCGTCGTCGACAACATCAAGCAGCAGTGCATCAAACCGGGCAAATTCGACTTCCGGTATAAACATCTCATCTACGAGTACTGATACTACACGTACAGGACAAAGCTCAACTTCGTCACCACCTGCAGCTTCAGTCAATGCCTCGTGGACAGTCACCGCATGTATCCTCCTCACCCCGACTATCGTCGACATTCATCGCTCCCCGTCCGGCCGCGTCGCGACGCCGCTGTTGACCTCCCTCCAGCTCGCACTCCCATCCGCATCCGCGTCGCGGTTTATACTACCTGTGCTGGCCCACACGCTGGTCCACTCGGTTCTTGTCAAGTCGCTGCCGTCGACCTGGCTCTCTTGGCTCGTGGAGCGAGTCGCCGGCATGAAACGGGGCTCGCATGGGTCCGACGCCACACTGGCGTTCCTCAGGAGTCCGCGCGGCGTCAAGCAGGCCTTGTATATGGCTGCGGATGAGATGGGCCAGATCAGAGCTGATGGGTGGGGTGAAGAGGTCTGGGGAGCAGCAGCTGTCGATAACGACATTGGCGGGGCTACAAGGTTCTCTCCTACTCCCAGGCTCTACTTCTGGTTCGCAAAGTCGGATCACTGGGTCGCGGACATCACGCGGGAAGAGATCCAAAGAGCCAGAGGCGGCGGAGTGGTGGAGAGGGACGAGATCGATATTCTGGGCCACGCGACTGATGAGGTACAATTTAGACTTGACGCCACCAACCACGACAAGCACGCCGTGGACGAAGCGCCGATGGTGCGGATATATGAGACGGACGGGCTGGCGCATGCTTGGTGTCTGAACCAGAGCGAGTTCGTTGCCCGACGAGTGATAGGATGGCTGAGGGAGATATTGGGTCAAGAGTGTCGAGAATCCGTCTGATCGACTTATGTTTGTCTGGTCTCGTGTTCTCATAAAGGCTAGAGAAGGCTCACGTCGAAATAGATTCAATTTGTCTCTGCCTCCTCGCCCATCCTGGCGAACAGAATGTGATTGGATATAGTATTCCATCCCACACGGTTTATGCTAGATGATTGTGTGGATCAAAGGTAGAGCATCAACGCTACCCATCAAGCAGACACGTCGCTTTTTCTGCCTGCCTAGTTTTAAGAAATACCCGCTCTTCTAAAGAGGTCTCCTAGAACGTCGGGCCTCTGAGGTGCTGCTTCTTGAGGTGCCATACCTGTCGCGCTATGAGGTTGGGCTCCATCCAGGTTGTGTGTTCTCACACTCCAGCTGGCATCAGCTGCCCGTTGCTGGCCAAATAGCTGTTGAAGACTGATCTGCTGCCCAGGTAGGGCTGCATTGGCTTGATGATGTTGTAAAATTTCTTCAGCTTGTTGCATATGCCCATTGGTGTGTTGTGCAACGGCAGCAGATGCGGCAGCTTCAGCTGCTTGTCTACTCGCTCCTGCGTGATCGGCGAGCGACTTCATCAGGTCGCCGTTTAGTTTCTGCGCGTGTTCGGTGGATGACCCGGGCGCGTCATGAAAGATGTAGACACCATAGATCTTTTGCTCGTGGCCCTCCTTGAAGCTGATGATGACATATTCTCCTGTTACTTCGACACCGGCGTTTTCTCCTTCTCTCAACTCCGCCTCGAAATTATCTAGCCCTCTTCTGTTGAGGACTATGGCGCAATATCGATCCTCTCCGTACCGTCCCGGGGTAAGCTCACATATGAACAAGGATCCCTCTACACCTGTCTTGGTCCATTCCGGTTGCGGTGCAGGGGAAAATTCGTAGACGACGGCATAAGGCGCAATTGAAAGGATGGAGGATATGGCAGGATTGATGCGTCTGAGCACTGACAAGTTGAGTTCTTCGTTGGTGCGGTCTGGGGGAGGAGGCTTTAGAGGGTAGTCTGACTGATACCCTTGGTAATCCGACTCGTAATCTGAGGCTTGTATAGGTGGCTGGGCAAGAGGCATTGGTATAGACGTAGGAGGAGTAGCGTCTTGGGGATGTTGTGCTTGTGTCTGTGTCGTGGAGGACATGGGAGGGTAGCGTGGGAAGTCGACAGATTGTTGTCGCCTCGAATTGCCAGGCCGTCGATAAGACATGACGAGCTGAAGGACAGAAGGCCAGTCGAAAATGACTGCGGAATGTAGAAGGGTTCAGTAGGAAAATATCTGACCTACCTCGTGGGTAGGTACCTAGCCGTCAGGCCCTGGGGAGACAAAGCTGGACTCTTTTGTCCTGGTCCTGCAGAGTCGTCGGAAAGAGACAGGCGTCACGTCTAGTTTCACAGAGACGGTCGCAGGAAATTGTCATATAGACAGACCAAGTCAGTTGGGTTGTAAGATGGCCATTCACGAGGCTGATAGAGAGCGTTAGGAGCGTCTAGAAAGGGGAAAGCGCGACCCCAGACTAGCTGCGGATCCCGGCGACACGTTACCCCTAATTTTTTGGCCAGCAGCGCAGTCTGTCGACAACCACACGATCTCTCTCTCCCTCTCCTTCATCGTCAACAACATCAACGTCGCATCGTTGATTAATTTCCCTGTTCGTCGTTGTCGTGGACGACCACATCCAGTCTCGGCGCCCTCTGTTCTCTACGTCGCTCTACTATCGATTCGAGTCGCCAGAATGTCTTCACCAATGAATCCGGTACGCTGTCTCGCTTTCATCACCCCTATCTAGCACGATTCGTTACAACACAGATCATCTCTACCTACAACTCCTTATCAGAAATACTGTCCTCGTCATCATGTTCTCTACTAATAGCATGCGCTTGGTCGTATAGATTCGGAGAAAGAAGAATGTCAAGAAAGGAATTCAGTTTTGTCTCATGGTGTGCGGCGCAAGCGGGACAGGTATGTTTTCCTGCTCCACCAATAGCTGTAGTTGAGCTGATCACTGTCAAGGCCGGACCACGTTTGTCAACACCCTCTGCGGAAGGAGAGTTCTTCAGCCCAAAGATGCCGACGATGCAGCCAATGCCCATCTCGAAGAAGGAGTTAGGATCAAGCCCGTGACGGTTGGTAGGTGGAGTAACAATGCACAGTACCCTGTGCAATGTGACTAACAACGCTTGCAGAGCTTGAATTGGATGAGGAGGGCACACGTGTCTCGTTGACGATTGTGGACACTCCCGGCTTCGGCGACCAGATCGATAATGAAGCATCCTTCGGCGAGATCGTTGGCTACCTCGAGAGACAGTATGACGACATCCTGGCTGAAGAGTCGCGCATCAAGCGAAACCCTCGATTCCGTGACAACCGCGTGCATGTATTGCTTTATTTCATCACTCCAACCGGGCATGGTCTGCGTGAGCTCGACATCGAATTGATGAGACGCCTCTCTCCCCGGGCCAATGTCATTCCTGTCATTGGCAAAGCCGATTCCCTGACCCCAGCTGAATTGGCCGAGTCGAAGAAATTGGTCATGGAAGATATTGAACATTATAGGATCCCCGTCTACAATTTCCCTTACGATATTGAGGAGGACGATGAGGATACTGTCGAGGAGAATGCCGAACTACGTGGCTTGATGCCGTTTGCCATTGTTGGATCAGAAGATGTGCTTGAGATTGGCGGTCGACGCGTCCGGGCACGACAATATCCGTGGGGTATTGTGGAAGTGGACAACCCCCGCCACTCGGACTTCCTGGCCATTCGCAGCGCCCTCTTGCATTCACACCTTGCTGATCTCAAGGAAATCACACATGACTTCCTGTACGAAAACTACCGCACGGAGAAACTGAGCAAGAGCGTGGATGGAGGCCTCTCGTATGAACCCTACCCCCATGTTTTGTCTTCACAGATGCAGAAAGGACTAACTATTGTGCTACAGAGGGCAAGACTCGTCGATGAACCCGGAAGACCTAGCCAACCAGTCGGTGCGCCTGAAAGAAGAGCAGCTCCGGCGTGAAGAGGAGAAGCTGCGGGAGATCGAAGTCAAGGTCCAGCGAGAGATCAATGAGAAGCGGCAGGAATTGTTGGCACGGGAGAGCCAGCTACGTGAGATTGAGGCCCGAATGCAGCGTGAACAAAGCCAGGGATTGGAGGACTTGAACGGCCATGGCCATCAAGATGCATAGACGGCACCCACCCCGGGCCAGACTGGAAACCGTTTCTTTTCTTGCGGTCTCATGCAGGCATGGATCAAAGTGGGACAGAATCGACTTGAATTGGCTTTGTGACAGTGAGGCTGGAAGACATTGCTTCGTCAGAACATGAGCGGTGAGGCCTGCAGAGACGTTCACTGGCTCGATTGTTTGCTTGAGGACAGTGGATTTGGTGCGGTAGAGTAGCGACCTTCTAATCAGCGGTGACGGGACCTTGAAAAGAGAATATTTTTCCTTATTCCTCCCGGAGAGATGCTGGCGCGTGGTGGATAGTAGTAATGCAGGAATGCTCGAGTTGTCGGGTTGGCTGTAACGGTACGGAGTCAGTTACAGCATGTCGTCGAGAAAGACAGGAGGTGATTCGTTGGTGCCTGACCGCGGGCTGACCCTAAGCAGAGTTTTCGAGTTACACAGCAGGGGATGGACGAAGCTTAAGGGGATGCGAAGAGCCTTGAGAAGCTTATAAGAGGCGGGACAGCGTGGGGGACAGTAGTGTCGGTCGGAGGGGCGCAGGCTACTGATTAGGCCCGGTGCAGTTTTTGCGGAGGAGGGGTTGGTGCCTGTCGCACAGCATCTCATCACAAGGTCGGTCAAAGTGAGCAGCGCATCATGGGATGGACGATTCGATTCGGCCAGGGAATTAAATCGCGCATTGTGACGATAGCGTGGCCATCGACTGTTGCAGCTAGACTCGAAAGACCTCTTGCATGGTAGGACAGCACCAGGTCACAAAGGCCTAGGGGCCTCAGTAACCATTAGCTTTGTCCGCATAGATACTGTATGTGCAACACCTCTCCAGAAGCCATGAATGAGGCCTGAGGCCTCTGAGGCCACCTCCTCTTCGCTGGCGTAGAGCTGACCGGTCCTTGAACACATCAACACCGTGTGACATTTCATATTTCTCACGGGCGGTCTCTGAGGACTCCGCAGGTAACTTGGTCCTCAGCAACTCGCTACAGCTCGCTCCACCCCACTCCAATCCGGCGGCCAGGGTCGGTGTCCGTGGAGTGCAGCGCAGACTTGCAGTAGCCTTGCCTCAGGCGAGAGGCGTCAACGGTAGAACGGCAGCTTCGGGTGGGATTTGCGCCGCACACTGACAGTCTCTGTGCCTCACCCTCACCCGATGGTCGAGTTCTCACCCTTCCGTTCACCCCCTGTATCGACGCAGACTTGGGTTGCTATATAAGGCATTGATTTGACAGTCGAGTCCACTACAACCACAACCTCATTACTTACCTAGTACCTATGCTCGTCGCCGGTCAACCTGGTAACCTCCCAACTCCATCTGACCTGACGGCCAGCTCGGAATCTCAGCCTGCTCTATACCCGAGAGGGCTCAGGCTCGTGATCGAACCCCTGTCACGGTAGAATGAAGGTAACCGTCCCAGCGCTTGTCACTCGTCCAAAACCCCCTCTTTTGGTGCCTTGCCCTCGTTCTCGACCTTCCTGTTGTCACCGACTGACCTAGCTACAGTCTGGCCCAGCAGTCCTTGCCTGATCACAACGGGCACGCAACGCAGCAAACTGTTCGGTCGAGCATCCAAATCCATCCCTCCCCCTTCCGACTCGAACCATCTGTGTCCCTGTCCTTCGCTCGCCGATCCTCCTCGAGACAAGGTTTCCTTGTGTATAGGCTCCGATGGTAGATCTGCGATTGGCGAAGTGAAAATCCAAAGAAGACGACAAATGGCACATGAAATCCATTGAAATCACCACGTACCCCATTGACAGCCGGAGGAAGTCAGATTCCCCAGACGACTGCAACAAGCAGCGACGTCGAACTTGTCTCTCCTGTAATACCCGCTTTACTTGTCAGTCACCCATTCGGACACTCACCTCCATTCTCCTCGCTTATTCGCCGTGGAGGAAGACGTCCCAGTGGGACTATATTACTAGCGACAAACTGGGTCACTGATATTCCTCGCATACATCCCACTGCGCAAGATCGTCTCGTGCTTGTGCTCTTTTGTTCCTCGGGACCACCCCACCCTCAAAGCCAAAAAACTGGTACCAGAGAGTGACGCTGATATCCGGGTTGCCGTCGCAATCTCATCAAGCGCTTTGCCCAACCCAACTGTCTGCTGCTCCAAACCGGCTCAATATTCCCCGGTCGTATCTATCTCATCCCCTGCTATTTCACTTCGGTCGCTCGTCGTCACGCTGGATTCTCCTCAGAGTTCGCTCCCTTTGCGTGGGCTGAACGTCCTACCTTACCATCTGCGCTACCGACGGCCGCGTCTCCATCCCTAGTTGACGGTCATGACGGTAATGACCAGTCCGCCAGCTCCACCGACACGATCCTCCAGTGGGTTCAGTTTCTTGTCGAAGATCAAATCGCACAAGGAAAACAAATACCTGTCTCCTTCTCCGCCCCCGGGGGTACATCGAACTGGCAGTTATGGCAGCATCTACAACCAGCCCGCTCGGTCCTCACTCTTTTCGCTGCCCGCAAAGGAGGGATCAGGGCTCAAAGCCCGTCGTCTGAGTGCCAGTCCTCTAGACGACTTTGTGGTGGACGATGTCTGTCCCTTGGAGGACGAATTCGTTTCGACCTCCATATTCGGCCGCCGAAAAGAGATAGGGAAGGGATCCAGCGCCACCGTCAGGATCATGGTGAGCAAAGTGGACAGGAAGTCTGACAATGCTCGCCATTATGCCGTGAAAGAGTATCGCAAGAGGTCTTTGCGGGAGACGGAAGAAGAATACGTTCGGAAGGTCAAGTCAGAATATACCATCGCCAAATCGCTCAACCACCCCAACGTTGTGCAGACGGTACAGTTGTGCACCCACAATGGCCGATGGAACCATGTGATGGAATACTGCCAACAAGGCGAGCTCTTTAGTCTGGTGGAGCGCAGATACTTCAAGGCAGAAGACCGGAATTGCATTTTTAAGCAAGTACTCCGGGGCGTGGATTACTTGCATGAACATGGCATTGCGCACCGGGACATCAAGCTGGAAAATCTTCTCATGACCGACGAAGGATACATTAAGATCACCGATTTTGGCGTGTCGGAGGTGTTTTGTGGCGACCATCCGGGCATACCGTCTTCACGAAGCCTTTGCGGGCAAGGAATGAGAGAGCGTCGGAAATCGAGCCCGGGCATCTGTGGATCGAAACCATACATCTCGCCCGAAGTCCTGGCTCAGGATCGAGAATATGATCCAACCAAATTGGACGTGTGGGCTTGTGGGATTCTCTTCATGACCATCTTTCTGGCGGGAAATCCCTGGCCGAGTGCGACCCAGAGCGAGGTGAATTACTCGCTGTTTCTGGAAGGCTGGCAAACTTTCCTGGAGCAAGTCCAAGACTCGCCGATTGACGAAACCGCGTATCCTCAATGTGGACCAATCTTCAATGCTCTGCCGTCCCACTCCCATCGTCGGTGTATCCTCAAAATGCTCCATCCCGACCCAGACAAGCGATGCAGCATTAAGGACGCCCTCCAGGATCGGTGGGTGAAGGGTATTGATTGCTGTTCCCCCGAAGGCATTGGAGCGACGTTGTCCAACGGGATCGATGTGTCGAAGACCGGATGTGACAAGGTGGCGGCGAAAATGAACGTCCAGGCCAAACACGATCATCTGCCACCCCCGGTCAAACGACTGCCTCAGCATCGATTCGATATGGGAGATGGGACGTCACGATATGGTTGAGGTTGTGCGGCTGCCCCGTCTTTCGAGTCTGGATTCTGGATGACTGCTCTAGGTGCCTGCAGCATGTTTTGTTTGTTTTCGGATCGCCGCACACCTTTTTGTTTCCTTGCCTTTAGCCTGGCGATTGTGGTTGACTCTAGTCTGCGTTACGAAGTGCCAGGTGTATAGAGAGCATGGCTTCTGTTCAGGTAAGGATACATACATGGGGCAGAAGGCACCTCAGAGGGTGTCGATTGATTTCTGCAGCTGCAGCGGCAGCAGTAGTCACGGGTGATGCGGACGAGGCTCAAAAAAGGGAGGTAGACTGCATTGCATTGTATGTTCCTCGTGGGTGCCTAAGTATACGTCGATAGACACAATACAGTACACGGCCCCAAAATACAAGCAAGGTAAGCGAGCAGTCGACGCAGTCGGATGTTCTGTTAGATTCGCAGAAGAATAGGCAAGGGAAGGGGAAGGGGAAGTAAAGATGGTAGCCCAAGTAACAACTTCGAGGTGCGGCATCAGAATTGCCAATAATGCTGCTGACCGCCTCTGCCAGCGAACACGAACAGGGGGGGGGACTGGACTCGGCAACGGGCGCCCGTTATGGAGATGATGGGTGGAAGAGCAATGCAAACCTGCAAGGACCAAGAATCAAGGACCAGCTGTGAGATAGACAAGTATGCATCTGGGTCTACACCGCATACGGAGTAGATGGCTATAATCATGAGGGTTGCGGGAAAGCTGAAGTTGAAGTTGGGGTAATACGCGACGTCGACGTGGCGGAGTGCGGACTGGTGATTGGTATGTCGCCCGCCCTGGACAGAGGAGAGGACAGAGGACATTCGGAATACGTGGTCGAGGTAGCCACCCAAGGTAGGATATCAATGATCTTCAGCATTCAGCATTCAGCATTCCACATTCCTCATTCAGTGTTTAGTGTTTAGTATTCAGTATTCAGCATTCAGTAATCACGATATTTTGTGGCGGGAACATACTGGAGGCAGGCGAGTAGCAGATTACCAGGCGCAGGCAGATACGGATAACAGAATACGGAGAATACGGAGTACGAGTATCAGCCACAAAGACGCCACCGATACAAGCCACTTACTGTAGCCACCGGCCCGTAGCCTAAGCCACAGCTACTGCGCTGTCCTCCCTCCATCGCCCAACCAGGCCTCGGCGAGGGACATGAAAAGATTATTGTTATTATTTTATATCCCGGCCGCCTACCGCCTACCACGGTCACCACTCAGGCCCATGCTTACTCTGTCTGTACCTTACTCTGTTCACCCGACATCCTCTTGCTCATCCGCATTCTGAACCCGAACCCTCGCCTGACTGAATTGATTCCATTCGGGCCGTTGCCGAGGTTGCTTTGACTCTAGTTGCGTCCGACTTGACACTGAAGTTGCCCCGCATCGCCTACTCGCCTGGTCGCCTCTTCTTCGCTACATGTGACGGGCAACGTGTACTTTCAGAGCATTGATCTTTTGCTACAATTTGCCTCGGTCTCTGCGCGTCTGTGACGAACGCAAGAACACCTGGGAAGCGGAAGACAAAGATATACTTGCAAATCCCCACATCGTCGATTCCGATCTACAACTTGAACGGATAGAAGGAGAAAGCAAGACTCTCGAGCCTGTACTCCGTACCGCAACCCACTCAATGGCCGATCCCAATCCCAATCCCAATCCTTCCGTTCCGTCTTCCGACACACCTTACCAGCCATACATGGACGTTAAACCGCCCCCCGGCTTCTCTCGGTCGCACCCGGACGGCCGGCCTTTGACAGAGGCCGATGTCGAGGCTCAAGAGGCCAGCCAAAAGGCCAACCGTCTGGCCACCCCGGAACCCAAGAACTTTGGCGTCGCCTTCCCCGACAACCTGCCCACCCCGCCGTTCGTCCATGTCCAGGGCGTGCCCAACTTCCGGGAGCTAGGTGGATATCGGTGCCAGCCTCCTTCGTCAGCATCAGACTCGGCGGCAGATGGGTCGCCGACGTCCACCTACGCTCTCCGACGAGGGCTGCTGTTCCGCTGCGCGCACCCCACACACCTGACCCCGACCGGGGCGGAGTACTTGACGAAGACACTCAATGTACACGACGTGTACGATCTACGGTCCTTGCCGGAGATCACTCGGCTAGCAGCCACGGTGACCAACAGTGGGAAGGACGTGTACCCATTGGCGGACCCGAAGACGGGATGCGTCGATCACTACCCTGGTCTGACCCGACATTTCACCCCCGTCTACCAGACCGAAGACTACGGGCCGGTTGCGCTGGCGACCAAGCTGGCCTGGTACACGACGGTGCACATGCACGATGAAGAGGTTGGGTTTGCCTACTCGGAGGGCTTTGTTAAAGCGTATCGCGACATCGCCACCCACGGCGCCACCCAAGCATACGCTGTCATGTTCCGGCATTTGCTCGAAACCCCGTCCGACCCGTTGCTGTTCCACTGCACGGCCGGCAAGGACCGCACGGGGGTGTTTGCCGCGCTGGTGCTCAAGCTGATCGGCGTCGACGAAGATACGATTTGCTGGGAATACGCGCTCACCGAGCCCGGCTTGGGTGAGTGGCGCTCCCAGTTCATCGACCGCATGACCCAGACAGGCCTGGGCAGCGGTGGAGGAAGCAATGCTCCGGACCGGCCGCAGAAGATCTACATTGGCAAGGACAGGCCGGGCATGACCCGCGAAGAGGCCGCCCTAATCTGTGGCTCGCGCGCCGGCAACATGCGTGCCTTCCTCAAGACCGTCCTTGAGGCCGAGTTTGGCGGCGTCGAGAAGTACCTCGTCGACAAATGCGGTTTGAATCCCGACGAGGTCCAGCGGCTGCGCGATAGTTTGATTGTCAAGCTTCCCGAGGACCAGGTGGTTACGCCCAGCGCGATCGATGGCTGGACCCCGGATGGGGGATGTGTTGACTGACCAGGCACACCTACACATATCTACACGCCCGTCACCACACCTTCGGAAGAGATTGGGCCTTCCACAGATATACGTACCTACACGTACCTACATGTACCTACATGTACCTACATCCACATACACCCACCTTGAACTCTGGCCGACGGAGCTCTCAGCTGATAACCGGACTCGGAAGGATGGTAGACTGAATTAGACTCGATACTGCTGCTGTTGCTGTTGCTATCACGCGGCAAGGGACCCTGACTTGACTGTCATGGCTTAGGACTTGTGGCTTGATAGACCGATCAAGAATTAAGATTCGGATTAAGATGGCGACATGTACATTCCCCAAGATATTGGAATTTAAATTTATATTTATATTATCTGTCTACACGTGCATGCTGTGCTTCTGTCTATATCATTCTACTTCTACGTGACTATACACTGCGTATCTGTTGGTATCTATATTAGTGTCTATACACTGCGCCTCTATTGGTGTCTCTGTTGGTGTCGCTGTTGGTGTCGCTGTTGGTGTCGCTGTTGGTGTCGCTGTTGGTGTCGCTGTTGGTGTTGTTGGTGTTGCTATCACCGTCCTCCTTGGATGGCCCCCCAAATTGGAATATGTATATATATATATATACACACATACACATGATGGGTACGGAGTGCTCTGCTCTGCTCTGCATGGCATGAGGATAGAAGATACAAGGCATTAGCCCGTGATCTACACTGTAATACTGGGACTCGCCAATAAACAATAAACAAACAAGGGTAGTTGGATAGCTGGATAGCTGGATAGTTGAAACTTGACTTGCTTCTGAAAATAAACCTGTACACTTTACTTGATATCGAGGCGTCCACTCCCCGTGTCCGCTTGAACGCTTCAATCTCCAATGGTCAGGTCAGGTCAATCCAATGCGAACAGGGTCGAATGTACGTCCTACTTTGCCCTTTTTGGCACACAGCGCAGCTGGTTTGGGTTCCGGTTCCCAGAGAGGGAGACAGGGAGAGAGAAAGAGAGATCAGAGAGAGAGAGATTCTTCTGTCTCGAATCCTATCATCTCTTGCTCTTCTCTCGAATTCCATCATCTTTTGCTCTTCTCTCGGTCTTCATGACTCCCGCCTTCTCTCCTCCGCACTGCCTGCCTGAACAGAGCTTGCGGGTCCTGAACCAAGAGCACCACGTATGCTGGGGCTCGCGGTCGCCGGAGCGCGCGTCGGACTGGCGCCGGCGCTCACGGCACCCCGCTTGTCCTGTTTCTTGATCAGATTCGCAAAGAACTGTGCGGCTGCATCATTGCTCTGCTTGCCCGCTCCCGTCGACGACGGCGTGTGTGGCTGCCCCCCGTCTGCGCCGGTTTCGCTGCCTTGTCGACGCATGGGCGTGCCGACTCCCGAACCTGCGCCTGCGCTTGCACCCGTGGTGGCGTGCGTAGATGTCGACGTGGACCCCGAAGAAGCAATCCGGTTCCGCTCATTTTCGCGCTCCCTCAGCCGCTTGGTGGCTTCTTCGGCATCAAAGTCGATCCCGTTGACGTTGATCTGGTACGGCCCGATGCGCTCTGCCATTGTGAGATTGGCAGCTCCTGCCCCTTTGGCGCTTGACGCGTCATTTGCGCTCTCTATAACCCCCCCGGATCCTGTAGCTCCAGCTGCAGCTCCGCCTTGCCGGGACTTTCTTTGTTCCTTCTCGTCTTCGACCTTCAGTTTCTCGAGGACTTCGTACTGTGTTTGCAAGAACTCTTGGACTGACGGCACGACGACAGTCTCGTCATGCGTGCGTGGTTGGAAGGAAGGTCGGTAGTCGGTCGGATTGCGGAGAGTCGTTTCGTACATGTGCACTGCGGACTCAGGGTCTGAGCCGGTCTCGTTCTGGGAGGCGCTCTCTTGACCTGTGTTGACAGTGTTGAACAGGCCTTGTTTCGGCTCCGGCGGGCCTTGGATTTCCACAGACCAGGCATTGGCCACTGCTTCTGGGTCAAAGCCATCCTTCAAGATGCGGATCTTGCCCCAAGAATCCCAGTTCGGCGGCACGAGAATCTTGTCTCTGTCGACAATGTTGTGTTTTGCAACCTCTCGTTTCAGGAGAGAGTGGATGCTTAGACTGGAATGGAGCAATGTTCGCACGTTGTTCGGGTCGAATGTCGCCGTGTAAACCAACGATGCTCCGTGTTTGAGCAGTACACATCGTAGCCACTGCATCAGGAAATCGAATTGGTCTTCACCCCAGCCATAATCACGTTCAAGCACTTCAATCTTTTCCGCCTGGATGCAGACCACTGACAACGGAACGCCGAGTCCTTCGTCCCATTCTCCCGGCCCCAAGGGTGGTGCCGATACAGATATTGACTTCTGATCCGGGCTCGGATTTATGGTGCTGCCACCGGGCTGAGCGGATGGAGCGTCAGGGCCGACCCTTTTCTCTTTCCACGCCGTCATTGTCTCCTCCATCTCAATCTTGGTCTGCTCGTCCAGGCTCAGGATCACTGTTCTCAGCAGCCGTATCCACTGTCGCAGCTGTCTGGCCCATTTCAACGGTTCTTCCCAGTCCAGCAGGATGGTGATCAACATGTCCTTGACCGTCTTAGTAGTGAACAACGGCTTGAGCAATGGTGCGAAACTCGCACTAGGGCTCGCCAGCATGTAGACGTTCAATCGTGCCAACACATCTTCCTGGTCTGCATCTAGGACATCGTAGTAGGTGTAGCCCAGAGCATACCGGTTTGACATAGGTACTGTCACTGTCCCTGCTCCTGTCCGGGGCTGCCTTCTTCGGTCGTTGGCAGCATATCGAGGGCGTAGGTTAGGAGGGTTCAATTGTTCTAGAAACTCGCGCTGCCGTTCGGGGGTGCCGCCGAGGATGATGAGTTGCTTTTCGGTGATGTCTTTGCCCTTGGAGGCGCTGTTGAGCATGGGGACCCATATCGCTTGTTTCCCGGTCGGCCCATCTTTGCTTAAGGGGCGTCTCGAGGGGAGATGTGTTGTGGTGGTGGCAGTCAACATGGTGAGAAGGGGGGAGGCGGACGGCAGACTCAGACGCAGAGGCGCAACAGAGCAGATAGGTCTCGTTCAAAGCGCGCAATCAGACCCATGGGAAGAAACTGATATTGCTGGGCGAGAGATGCAGGTGATGGTACATTCTGGCGCGCAAGCTGTATGAAGTCATGTGCTTCGCGTCGTGGATTGATTGAGGGTGCTGTATATACTGTAGTTCCACTGTATTTATTTGTTTCTCCGCAGCCTAGTCAGAAAGTCTGGAGTTGGAGTCGAGAGATCCAGAATTCAACATACGTCGATTTATCGAACCCTCTTTTTCTCCTTCACCCTCTCAAGACTCTAGAGAAGATACACAACAGACTGGCCAGTCCGACTCGGCAAGAATGCGACCAGTATAAACGTGCTGACCACTCTCTTCAAAGACCAAAGCAAGCACATTCTGCAGCTCCACCATGAACGCCATCCGACAAACGCAACTTTTGAACAAACGCGAACTCGAGAATGCCACGCCACCCTCAGCGTCCTGGCACGCCGATTATCGCGACACGGCGTACATCTACATTGGCGGACTGCATCCCGACTTGACAGAAGGCGACGTCGTCACTGTCTTCTCGCAGTTTGGCAACCCTACACACCTCAACCTGATCCGCGACCGGGAGACGGGCAAGAGCAAGGGATTTGCCTTCCTCAAATATGAAGATCAGCGCAGTTGTGATCTCGCGGTGGATAACTTTACTGGCGCCGACGTCCTGGGGAGGCTGCTGAGAGTGGATCATACGAGATACAAGAAGAAAGACGACGAAGACGAAGACACTCATCGGATTGACCGCTGGGAACAAGAGGCCGAGGCCGAGTTGAATGGCAACGGGAAGAGGGAGAGTGATGGTAGTGACGACGATGAGCCCGGGGAAGCGAGGCACCGGAGGAAAAAGAGAAAGCACATGCTCAAAGAAGAGCAGGAGTTGGAAGAGATGTTGGCGATCAAGCAAGATGGCGAAGACGAGGATCCCATGCGAGAGTATCTAATCAGGGAAAAGAGGCGAGAAGTCGAAAGGGCGCGAGAACGGGATCGAGAAAGACGTTCCAGGCATAAGCATGGGCATAGATCGAGAGGAGACGAAAATGATAAGGAGGACCAGACGCAGGATGGGCGAGGACACAGGCACCGGCACCGGCACCGGCATGAGCGAGACGAGCGAGACGATCCTCACGAGGAGCGGAAGGAAAAGGAAAAAGTGGCACGACAGGACCCAGACGATGCTTATGAGAGAAGGCCGAGAAAGCACGGAGACCATAGTTCCCATCGCGATCGGGACCGCCGTCATAAAAGTCGTCGAGACGATAGCGGAGAGAGGCAACCGTCGCGAGATCGCTGTCCGAGGCGTGAGGATGAATGAAGAAGAGGCGGCGAGCAGTGCAAAGCTCAAATAGTTACGTGCAGCGCCTGACCGTGCAGCGCCTGACCGTGCAGCGCCTGACCGTGCAGCGCCTGACCGTGCAGCGCCTGACCGTGCAGTGTGTCATCACATGATCAAGATATATCCGCTTAGGACTACAGCGTTCATTCAGTTCTAAAGATGACATCAAATCCAGATGCTATTAAATGTTGCGAGGCTCGCAGATGCTGATATATGATTATCCTCCCAACTTAGGAAAGTCGAAAAGGCGAAATAGGTCAAAAAGTCAAGTGAGCAAGAAGACCAAAAAAAAGGAGATTGATTGAAATCCGGAACTGAAGAATTTGTTAGAATTGAAGACTCGCTGCTAAGGGTGGAATTAAACTTGCTCGAGCCGAATAGGGGGGTCGAACCCCTAACCTTGTGGTGACTTGGTGATAAGAGCCACACGCTCTACCGATTGAGCTAACCCGGCGGTAGATTATTGCTACTCGCAATTGTTGGACAGAATTTGTCCTCTGTAACTTATATTGCTAGGTTTTCTAGAATATGCCAAGGGTGGGTCTTCACGTGGGACTGGTCAAACTTTCAAAGTCCAACCGTTGTATGACTAATCCTCCTCGACCGCAACGACAACGACAGCGACCTTGACGATGAGGAGGATGGCAATAATAACAGCAACGCAAACAACTGGCCACGACGGCGACCTGAACCTTAACAACAATGACTACTACGACGTTGTCGACCACGACCACCAGGTGGGGAAAATAGAATCGGTCAGCCTGGATGATGTATACGGAGTACTCTGTATATCTATCTATATATATATATTCATATATACACTTGAAGGATTCTTCGGGTTCTTCCATGTTCATTGACTGATGGTCGGCCCTTGGGCGGTCAGGAAACCGAAATCGCAACCAAGATGGGCCTGATTGACTTCTCTTTCGTACAGACCACGATATCCGCGGACGTGTGCTCTTTCGACCCAGGGCTCCCTGCTGCCAGACGAGGACACGCTTTGAGCGCTCTTCTTACGCTCGGCGATCCGGCGGCTGATTTCATGCTCGTCCACATCAAGCAGCAGCTTCCGGTTCTCGACGTCGCAGACGATCCTGTCACCCGTCTCCACAACGCCAAACACTGAATCAAGGTCTGCAGACTCGGGCGCAATATGCAAGATGATGGTTCCGCCAGCAGTCCCGCTCATCCGACCATCACTGATCCTCAACATGTCCGTCACGCCTTGCCTGCCTAGCTTCTGCGGAATAGGGATCAAGCCCGCCTCGGGCATGCCAGGATTCCCCACGGGCCCAATGCTCTTGAGCACCAGCACCGAGTCGGCGTCCACGTCGAGATCGGGCGAGTCGATCCGCCTGGCCATGTCGGCGGAGTTTTCGAAGACGCAAGCACGTCCGCTATGCTGGAGTAATTTGCGGTTTTTGGACGCCGAGGCTTTCATGACGGCGCCGTTGGGGCACACGTTGCCGTACAGCACCACAAGGCTGGAGTTTGGGTAAAGCGGACCCTCCAAAGACCGGACGATCTGCCTGGCGTACGGGAACAACTTGGAAGGCGAGCTGTCGAGAAGTTCGCCGAGCGTTTGACCAGTGTACGTTCTCGCATTTAGATGCAACAATGGTCGGAGAGTTTTCATCAAGGTCAGCATTCCACCGGCGTTGTGGAAATCTGTCATGTAGTTGTCGCCGCTCGGTTTGAGATCGACCAGGAGAGGAGTCTTTTTGCCAATCTCGTCAATGGTGCTGAGGTCAATAGTGCCCGCCACTTTGGGGTGTCTGTTGATGATGGCCATCAAGTGCACGACGGCATTCGTGCTCCCGCCGATAGCCTGTAGAACGGTAATGGCATTCAAGAAACTCTCTCGAGTGAGCAAGTCCTGCGGCCGCGAGTGCTCCATCTTCAACATGGCGACCGCGTTGCGGCCAGCCTGCTCCGCGACTCGCAGTCTGGCAGAGCTGACCGCAGCCGACGTGGCACCGGCTCGCAAGTCCAGCAAACCCAAGGCAGCAGTGACGCAGGCCATGGTGGATGCGGTGCCCATGACACCACATGTGCCGCCGGTGGGCGCCAACTCCTCGTTGACCGACATGATGTCCTCCAAGTCGACATCGCCCGCGCGGTACTTGGCCCAGTAACTCCTGCAATCCGTACAAGCACCTACTCGCACCCCTTCGACGGACCCGGGGATCATCGGGCCCGTGATCAGGGGGATGACAGGCTTATTCGCGCTGATGCCGCCCATCAACTGCGCCGGCACCGTCTTGTCGCAGCCGCCAATCATGACGACCGCGTCCACAGGCTGGGCCTTGATCATCTCCTCCGTGTCCATGCTCATCAGGTTGCGCAGGTACATGCTCGTCGGGCTGGAGAAGCTCTCGTGCACGCTGATGGTGGGGAAGTCCACCGGCAACCCGCCCGAAGCGAGCACGCCTCGCTTGACGGACTCGATGAGCTGAGGGACATTGGAGTGGCACGGGTTGAAGGACGAGTACGTGTTGATGATGCCGATGATGGGCAACGACAGCGCCGAGTCCGAGTATCCCAAGGCTTTGATGAACACTTTGCGCAGGAACAGAGAGAAATGCGCGTCGCCGTACGAGGTGAGTCCTGAACGAAGGCCCGACGTCGATGTGATCGGCCGGGAGAGGTCGTAGTCTGAGCTGTGCACATCTGGCGAGCCATCGGCCTTTGAGGTGTCGTGAGAATCCATCTTGCTTGCGCTTACTTCAAAGCTGCTCAAGCGTCCTGTCCACCCTCGGAAACTTACCGGTTTAGCAACCTACACTCCTGACCTAGTACCACTCAGTTGATGAACCTGAAGGAACTCGGGACCAAATGTCCCCCGCCAGTCACGCATCACATCATTTGGAGTGGAGGGTCGTCATGTCGGGGCTGATTGGAGAACGAGTGGCCGCCGGCAGTACTGACTACGGATACTACGGACTAGGAGCCGATATGAAGATCACATGTCAGGCTGTCTTGCCTGTCCTGAGCGAGGCTGAAACCCGCGACCCAGGGTTCTACTCTGTACTCTCGTTCCTGTAAAGCACGGTGTGTGCGTGGCTCCTTGTCCAGAGTAGACGTTTATTATTTTGGCTCCGCTGAAGATCTCCCTCGGTGGTCTCGTTGTCTCGGGCTGGCTATAGCCCGTGGCCGACCTTCAACACCGGATATCGTAGGGAACAGATCCGAAGAGGAGACGCCTACTGATAGACTTTATACCTTTGCTCTCTCATGCTAGTGTATACAGATATCTCTGCACCTGTGCCGAGATCGCTACCAGTCACTGGTCTTCTTCAATTGCTCGTTCTGGATGATCTCAACCCAGTAATCGTCCGGATCCAAAATAAAGGCGACATTCTTCATCCGGCCATCTGTCAGCCTCTTCTTCCAATTCACCTTCTTCTCCTCGAAGAACTGGCAGGCCTGCTCCACATCATCCACGCTGACACAGATATGCCCGAAACCTTGAGGCTGGTCATTGCCGTTGTGGTACACTTTCCCCTCTTGCTTTTCCGTCCCATAGTTCCAGGTCAACTCGAGCAGCCCTTCCTTCTCAGCCAGCGGGTTGACTCCGTTCGGGGTGTCTTCCGGTTTCGGGACCTTGAAGGACCCGGGATATCCCAGGAAATAAAGTGTGAAGCCCCCCTCTTTTTGCTCCGACGTACGCAGCAGGGTCATGCCCAAGACCTCCTGGTAGAACTTGAGACTCTTCTCGGGGTCCTTGACTCGGATCATGCTGTGATTGAACCGATATGCCGACGTGTCTGTGGTGGTGATGTCCTTTGTCTCGTCCACGTTCTTCTGCCCGATGATCTCCACCCAGTACCCGTCGGGATCGAGAGCAAAAGCAATGCTACGCATGCGCCCATCCGTCAGCTTTTTCTGGAACTTGTACCCGGCATCTTCGATGCGTTTGCATGCCGCTTGGATGTTGTCCACGCTCACGCAGACATGGCCAAACCCTTTATGCGGCTCCTTGTTGCCATTGTTGATGCTGAATGACGAATCGCTCTCGGTACCGTAGTTGTGTGTCAGTTCGAGTACGCCTTCACGGTCACTCCAGTGAGCGCCTTGAGACGCAGAATTGGGGCCGTCGTAGGCTAGATAAAGTGTGACTGGTAAGCACTCTGTCGTTTTTGACCTCGTCTGTACTGCAAGGGAGAAAGGGCTCTCTCACAGAGGGGGCGGGAGGTAGCTTACCCAAGAAATAGAGATCGAATTTGTTTTCTGGGAATTCGAGTTTTTTGATCAAGCTCAGCCCTAGTAGCTTGTAGTACTCCAGCGACTTCTGGGGATCTTTCACCCGGAGCATCGTGTGGTTGAACTTCCATTTCGTCTGGTCCACCATGGTTGCGAAAGATTTGGATACGATGGGAGAAGAGAGGGAAAAGTGCCGGGCGAGGTGCTGCAGGCGTGGTAGGATAGATAGGCGAGATCGAAGCATCGACAACAAGCCGAGCGTTGAGGGGATGGTTGGGTAATGGGAGATTCGAGCTGGCTATGGGCAGATGCAGATGGAGCCGTGGAGTTGACTGGATGATGCTTCCATTCCCTTCGCTCACGCTCACGCATTTCACCACCGTCGGCACTGGAAAAGTTCCATGACGTGGAGGGGCAGACTGCGCGGGCGGGTGGATGGCAGCGGACTCCTCCCCTCCTCCTGCCCACTCTGAAGTCTGTACCTCGGTGTCTCTATCACCGTCCAAGCCATAGCCGGAACAGCCCTCGCAGCATCTCCTTCGCTTGGCAGCTGGTTCGTCCGCCCTAATCTCGAGGCTACGGCATGATATACCCCGAATATTGTATTATTAGGCGGAGTGAGGCGGGACTCAGGGGCTACTATCTTAGCCAAAGAATGACATGAAGTCTCATTCATGGTCGTCACCATTTCCTCTTCAGCTACCTGCTCAGAACATAAGGTCGCCGTTCTCTCACCTCTGATGATATTCTCTGCAATTGGGAGTAGTTGTTGACAAACGCCTTGCCGTCATTTCCATACCCTCCTTCGAGAGCCATTTTCTTCCTGGGTATGCTTCCTTGATGAGATCCACGTGTATTGCGTATGCCTCTACTTTGCAGTAGACAGCAACTTCAGGGTTGAATTCTCGGTACTCTTCCCTGGCCTTCAAACCGTACAGGCGGAAGACAAAGCACTTTTTATCCTGACCGTTGGGATGAATCCGCCCGACAGCCTCTAGGTCCATATTCCGGGAATGGCGGGTACAAGGAGCACCGGTCGTCTACGATTGCCGTGAGCGTTCAGGTCATAGCCGGAAACCTGGATGATAACCCAGGAAGCTCGATTGACGTAAACAGCCCTCTGGACTGTTTAATCTTGAGATGTCTGCTCGAGCAAGCTGGTTGATGCCAGCGCATTGGCGGGGCGGCCTCTGGGATCTTAACGTGGATCCTAGTGCGAATCGGAAATAATGTATTCATTGCTCACAGCCTGGACGATTGCACCTGCGTCTCCCTGATCGAGGCTGTCCAACGTGCCTACATCCTCGGCTGAGATCTCAAAGCCATAAACATCTGCGTTCTGCTTGATCCGCTCTGGATTGTCGCTTTTCGGCAACGGCACCCAATCCTTCTGCAGGCAGTATCGGATCAGTATCTGAGCGGTGGACTTGTTGTATTTCTTGGCCAGGGACACCAGCGCCGGATCGTTGGCCTTGTAATTTCGGACGAGAGGCGAGTACGCTTCGATGATAATACCCTGCTTCTGGCAGTAGGAAGTGATGGTGCGCTGTTGGCACCAAGGATGAAGCTAGAGTCCTGTCAGTCAATTGTGCCTGCCTCCTGTCGCTAGCTGAAAAGCGTCACTTGTATTACTGGCCACCGATACAAACTGCTCAGAAGGAAACAGACAGCGGAAACATACCTCGATCTGATTCACGTGTGGTGGCCAGACCTTCGCATAGCTCTTCATCTCTTCGATATGGCCCACTCCATAATTGCTCACGCCGATGCTCTTTGCTTTGCCCTCCTCGTACAACTTCTCCAGAGCCAGCCACATTTCTTTCCGTGCCTTCCCCCCTGCGTTGGGACTATGTATCAGAAACAGATCCACATATCCGCCTGAATCGATCTTTTCCACACTGTCGATGCACTTCTGATATGATTTCTCGATGCTGCCTCCCGGAGACAGGATCTTGGTGGTGACGAACACTTCCGAGCGCGCAAGACCCGATTTCTTGACTGCTTCGCCGACCTGCGCCTCGTTGCGGTAGAATTGTGCCGTGTCAATATGCCGGTAGCCTACTTGTAACGCGGCGAGGCATGACTGGACGCAAACCGAGGGCGACGACTGGTAGACGCCGAACCCCAGGCGGGGGATGCGCACTGAGGAGTTTGGCAGCGGGAGGGTATCTGCCAACGACAGCGAGGGCATTTTGCGAGGGCTGGACAGTGATGAATTCGGCACGGGAGCAACTGCTGATTTACGAGCAATATTTGCGGGTGGTCAAAAGAGACAATCTTTGTATCATTGCAAGCGGTCTGCTCAGTGGTGGTGGCTTAATTTTCTATGATGCAATGACGTGCGCAGGCTCAGGGGCCTTAGTAAGGTACCTGAGCCTTATTACCTAGGCATCACTAGCCCCTAGGCCCTCTCGCGTACAGTACTAGCAAAGTGCCTGGCCACAGCCTCCGGTCTCCCGGAGATCGTTGTTCCGACCCTTGATCTCTGCTCATAACAGTCCAATTTTGACCAAATTCCAAGTGGCCTTACATGTAGTCAGGACGTTGCATCAATACAGAATTGACGGCCTGCAGTGTGGCCCTTGAAGGGTTGACATCCGCTTTGGAGCAGGTGATCCAAGCCAACCGCTGTTTGACAAGCTGCTTATCTACGCTGCTGGACTGGTAGTCATCCTGCACCAGACCTTCGAAAAATGTCAGCATGAGAGGAAATGAGACCATCAGGAAGATGGCATGAGCGTACCTTGATCGTCGTAGAAAAGACACAGAAGCGCGACCGCTACACCAGCACTAAGGTCTTTCCCACTCGAGCAAGTCACCAAAATTTGGCAATCTTTTCCTTTGCGAAGATGCTGTTTGACAGTATCACATACCATCCCCAGCTTGTCACGAAGATCCTTGCTTCCAAATTTGCCCGACGGGCATTTCAAATCAAGTTGCCTCGGTGATGGAGGAATCTCTCCTTGACAATTGATGACGAGATCAAATCCTTGGACGTTAGAGACTGGGCCAACTCCAATGTGAAGGTTGGATGTCGGGATGATTTTTGTGAACTGGCTTTCACTCACACCCTCGTCATTCCCACAGTCACACCACTGTTGGATCAAGTCAGGTAGGTCGACTTCAGGGGTCTGCAACAATTCATCCCTGTGCTTCCAAAACAACTCCGCGGTGAGCCCATGCGACCAGCCTTCACTGTCATCACCGGCTCCTTGGATGTATCCGCCTTCGGATGCCTCTGCTCCGTGAACACGACGAGATGCAGAGCAGAGCACCAGGTGGGTCCATTCGTCGACACCGCCTTCGAGTTTGTCGTCCACCGAGTCATCATTGACATCAAAGCGACCATTTATCGCCCAAGTGACACGAATTGGATGTTTCAGCTCGTCGCGGAGGTTGGCCAAATTCAATCCCAGCTGAGAGAATGCTCGTGCAAATCTGTCTAGTCTGGCTTCGATTTGTGATATTTCCGACAGACCTAGCTCATCTGGAGGAGGTGGATGCTGCAGCCCGTGTGTCGAGGGTAGTTCAGGAAAGAGCACTCTGTTGACTACAGCCACCCAGATGGGTGCTGTTTTACTGAATGCATCTGGCAGATTCTTGCCGCGGCGAGTAGAGTCAACCACAACAGCACCGCCATATTTACCCAGTATAGGCAATAGTTGGAGATTGAGCCGTCGTAGCGAGAAGTCCCATTGTCCGTGATGCCCGTCAGTGCTCTTGAAGTACGCACTGCCAACTTTATCGGCCGGTTCTATGTACCAACTCCCACATCGTTCGTTGGCAACAAGGGGCAGCTTGAAGTGTTCGGATACTTGCTTGGCGAACTCCGAGTCGGCTAAGACAGAGTTGAGACGATTCGGTATTGATAGCGTAGACTTGCGAATCGACCTAAGACTGGCATACAAGGATGGGTTGAGGCTTGAGTCATTCAGAATAATATCGGCTAGTTTCGTCGGGAAATCCGCAGACGGCATTTCTGGTCAGTAGTAGGAGGATGCTCAACGGCAAGTGTTTGATTCGTAGTATGGACGTTGGTCTTCCACAACGGTTTCATCAAGTTTCGGGGGTAGTCGTGATACTCATTGCCCTAAGGAAATAACCATGCAACTCAGTTCCTGGCCTTTTACCTGCCTCCACCAAAAGACCGACGCCTGAACCATCATTCATCTGAAGACAACCCAGGTGTCTCAAATGGCCGACCGTCATACAGATCCTGGTAAAATCCCGGCTGCCAAGAACGATGGCGATTGGCCACTCCCAAACCCCATCCGACCCTCGTGTAGTAGTAATTATAGTAACAGGCTGCCAGTGTAGCACCATACCTAGGTACCTATTGGAGGCACAGCTAGAAGTACCAGTCTCGTCTGGAATGTCATGCCAGTGTCTGTACGTGGTACTCAAGTGACCGTCACTGGTCCCTCCGCTGGCACTGGTCCAGGCATCATCGGAAGTCCATTCGTATTCATCATAGCCATGGCGTCATCGTTAATAGGATGCAAGCTGTATTGGGTTGCAGTAAAGTCCTCGCCGTCGAAAAGTAGGAAATTTTGAAGCGGAGCCTCTTTCTGTCCAAGGACATTGATGACATCCTGAGCCAAATACCCTCCCAGATACGCAACCACAGGGCTGATTTCGGCTCCAAGGTTTTGAAGGAAGCTGCGCAGGAAGTCCGCTCTCAAAGTCTCCGGGAGTAACTCAAGTTCAAGATGCTTCTGGTTCGCAAGTCGAGTAAACATGGCCAAGTCTGCTGGACGCCGGATCACCGGTAGATGGCCTCCGCTCTGGCTCTGGAAATCGAATAGGGCTCGTAAGCATGAAAGTAGAGGTGTCACGCGCATCTTGCTTCGTCGAGTGTTTCTGGACCTGGCGGGAAGAGGGGATAGGTTGGCCAATCGCAGAGGCGTGTAAGTCTCATGGTACGCAATGATGTCTGTGATGGTCTGATTCTCTCTTTTTGAGTCGACGGCAGTCACACTTCGTGTGGGTGTCTCCATGTCGCCTATCTTTGAAGGTCTGTTGCTGCGCGGCTTTTCAACAACAAAGTCATGAAGACAGAGGTCGGCAAAGATGAATCCATACATGCCATGTGTGTCCGCGGCGTAGAATTTCCGACCATAGGCTCGGCATGCCATGTTGATGTTGCATAGTACGTCCACGGGCAACCCAGTCGCGATTGTGATGTCAAAGGAATGGAAATACTCCGGCAACTTCTCTTTAATATCATCTGCATCTGTGTATAGTTCGACCCGGGGGTTGAGCTTCTGCAATTCTGGAAGAGCGGCCTCTGCCCGATTTTGGCCAATATGAGCCTCGGTGACGAGGAACTGTACCCCAAGGTCTTCTCCGGTGACCAGTTCATGATCCAAGACAGTCAATGTTCCGATGCCTGCTAGGACAAGGTTCTTTGCAATTTCATTGCCGAGGCCTCTCATGCCTATAAGAAGTATGTTCGCTTGACGTAGTCTTTGTTGGACTTGCATACCCCACAATCGAATCTGTCTGTCGTAGAGAGCAATCTCGTCGGCGGAAATGGTTTGTGTGGGCGCCATTGCATCCATTTGCGACGGGACACCATTGAGGGGGAGGGTCATGTTGGTGAAGTTTGGGTCTGGGATTGGGACGAAGCCATTGCCAACCGCAGGGATAAATGGGATGAAATTTGGAGCGTTCGGATCATTGACCGCTGGTTGAGGAACTTCGTTGGTATTTTCTATGGGAAGAGACCCGTCAGGCAGGGAATGTTCGCCGTTCATCGTGCATTCGATCAAGCAAGAAGTGTGGATGAACGAGGCTGGGGAGTCTTGGTAAGATGGAGGAGGTTTGAGGAAGCTTTCACAGAGAAAAACCACTGGACGTAGTGTAGTAAGATCTGCAATGAGAGTGAGTTCTGAGCTGAAGGTGATACAGTGAGAATGTTGGCTGTCTACGCAGTCGCAGTCGCAGTTGCTACAAATTGTTTGACAAGTGTCTTAGCGATCCGCAGTTGATACCTGAGCTGCGGGCACTCCTGCAGCCTTAGGCTAAGGAGTCTAGGCTCAAGGGCCCTAAGGCCTCCGAAGCCTAGAGTAATGCCTTAGGCTCTCAGTTGACAGCGGCTTGGAACTCTTTTAAGCGCTTTGGGCAAGCGACTTTCGCTATACTTAGCGGGGCGCTTTAACTAAAACGAAAGTTGGTTCAAACTTAAGCCATCGTCTGCCTGCTACTGGACCAGTTCATCATCTTCCAGGTGTGCCAGTCACCCTCTGTCACACGTTTGAGGACGTGGACCGTAAGCCACAATCCGATCGCGGGGCAACTACCTGATACCTACATTACCTTGCCGACTGGCGACTGGTGACTTCCGCTCTTTTATTAACAATCCTTCTGGGTCATATAACTTACTCCTCGGTATTGAGTCTATGCTAAGCCGAACGAGTTACTGTTCTATTTGTACTTCCAGATTCCAACCTTCTTGCATGGTGTCCATACTCAGAAGGAGACCTGCAACCTTGTTGGGACCACAACTTTCTGTGCAGCCATGGTGTGTTTGCTCTGCAGCCCGCCGCCATTTTCCATCTACCATCATTTTATTCTTCTTGATTCTAATGATGCTAATGTCTACCAGACCGATCCTCCTGACCGCTACAGGTGGCCAAACATTTCAGCACGGCTGCAAAACCTCAGAAATCTTCTCAGTTCCGAGCGCCACCTAGGCGCCATCCAACAACGGGCCTTTGAGGCCATTGATCGAGAGATGGACCAGATGGCAGCAGACCGATCGGTTGCTCGAGAACGAAGAAGAAGAGGGGATTCTGAGACACATACGCAAGCTCGAGATGCACAGCCGGCATCAGACATCCCCCCGCAGTCTAGTTCGTCTGCCAGCCTTATCCGCAGCAGAAGGAGGGCTTTCCGACCTAGTGAGCGACTCCAGCGATATCAAAGGGAAAGACTTGGGCAAAGTGGCAGAGAAACTACGTCCGACTTACTCGTCTCTCCTTCAGATTTATCTCCTGCATCACCTGCTCAATCCATCCGAGGAGAGCGTTTGAGGTCCAAGCGGAGAAAGTTGGATGATGGTTCTTACGAGGAGGAGCCTCAGACCTTTAGCTACGGCCACAAGGGTCAAGTGGTATCTGGTCAACTTCGAATGGAGATTGCCAGTTGCGATGGCGGGGAGTACGCTCACCCGCATGGCCCCGTCTTTAACTTTCCCCAGAATGTCCTCCAGGACGACTACAGGGTTTACTGCACTAAAGCCAACAACTGTAATCTGTTGTTAAAGCATGTCGGTGGAATGCCGTTCACTTTGACTCAGATAGTCATCAAGGCCCCTAGAGTCGGTTACGATGCACCCATTCAAGAAGGGATGGTTTTCGTTGCGATGGAGGATAGAAAGCTTCTTGACAACACTTCGCAGTATGACGTACGGTGGTCTCCCAAGAGTCATCGTCGTCGAAGGCATCAGGCAGATGGTTTCCGTCCTTCTGAAGAATACTTGCGTCCGACGAGGTCCCCCCAGAGGTCTGTTGATCGGTCAAGGTTTCTGACAGACCCAACGTATGCGGAGGAGGGCGAGGACCGAGATGTTTCTCTTGTTTCTGGATTCACTGTCTCAGTTGTGGACCCTTCTGATGAGGAGGATGCAAGGGAAAGTCCACCTTCGCCTCGGCCGTGGCACGATGATGACTACTCGCTCAGATCGTACGTTGACCGCTACCAACCCGACTATCTGGGAAGTGAGCGACATGACGATCTCTGGTCGAGTTCAAGCGACTCTGAGGGCTACGAAGCCGAGGCAATACCTCCTCAAGAAACGGAAGGTGTCCGACGACAGCGATCCCTCGAGATCGAAAACGTCATGGCGCGTCGTAATCGTCTAGTGGATTTGATGCATGCGCAGCAAATACGGGATAACGATGAGGTTTTCGGGCGCCGTGGACATGAAGGCGCACACGATGGGGAAGAAGGGCCGCACAACCATCGTTCAGCCCCCAGCAGGACCGGACTGCGGACGTTTGCTCCAGCTGTCGGAGCGCCTGACCCAGCTGATCCTTTGGAGGAACATGGAAACACATTGGCCGGATTGGGCTCCAAGAACAACCCTGGGGGCTTTGCTGGGAGTCCCTCCTCCAGGCCTGATGTTGTGCTGCCACATGCTCGGTTTTCCATAAGCCGCAGCAAAGCTAGCACCTCCATCAAGTTTGACCCTCCGGTGTAAGTACTCGCTGTCAGATGACCTCTTCTTTGGGCCGCACACTAATATGTGATAGCTCGGGTCGGTACATTCTGGTCAAACTTTGGGCACACCATCCTAATGCGAATATCGACGTCCAGGCCATTCTTGCATATGGATATGGAGGCCCCCGTTTTTTCCCAAGCATGGAATTTCGTTGAGATGGCGGAGTTCCCACAGGGCTCTTGCAGCTCTATCCTTCAAAGAGAGGAGACTCATTCAATCGCAACCGGTGAGAAACATGACGCGACGAAATTTAACGACCTAGAACATTTATTAGGAAAATATCACATCACAAAGATCAATGAAGTCTCGGGTTTATTGTGCGTTCAGCAGCTCTTCAATGAAAAGAGTCTGTGATTTATGTCCAGTAGCTGTTCACCCAGTTTGAGTTATACAACCCAGGGTACATTAACAGGGACCAAATTGATTACACTATATAGTACTAGGTATTTAGTCTAACCCTGGCTATGAGTATTTGGCTGTGTGTGCTGCAAGGCTGTGGGCAAGTACCCGCCAGCGGAACTAGTTAGCCGTACGGAGTACGAGTACATACTGTATATCTTGCCCAATAATGTCGCCACGTAACAAATCTTTCACGCAATCCTACGGGACGTTGGACATTCCAGCATGCCCCTGTTCGCAGAGGGTACGGGCGTACCGATCCCTTGCCATGACAATCCCGTCTCGCAGGGGGTAGCAGGAACCCAAGTCCCAGATCGTATTCGCATCAAGAATCGACGAAAGCGGTACCTCGATCTTCACCCGGAATATTTTGGGCCGCAGCTCGAGCTGGCAGGTGTGATTGTCTCTCACTTTATCTCCACACGAGGCAGCCATCAGGAGGTAGAATGGACTGACATTTTTGCGTCTTGCAGATCCCTTGTTGTACGACCGTCTTATACGCCGTTTCCAGACCCCGGCCGAGCGCGAGGCGGAAGGCCGACAGAAGGGGTTCTCTGGTGTTCTCGAGGCGGACCTTTATCGGAGCGAAGCCAAGTTGGACGCGCTGAGACACCCTGACCCGAACAGCATATTTACCTACAAGCGAGGCCCCAGCGGGGAGATCCTGGCGGAAGACAAGGATGAAGTGCCTGCGAATAAAGAGGAGGGGTTCACTCGCTGGAAGTGGGAAATGGAGACGAGATTTGTGAGAGGCGCTGACGATGACTTCGAATACGGCGCAGTTGATCACAATCCCGACTATGATGACCGCGCGACCGAAGAGCGGGAAGCTCAAGACAGATACTTCGACGAGCAGGAACCCGAATTTGTAGAGGGTCAGGATGAAAATGACGCTACGAAGAGTAAGAGTAAAGAACTGCAAGGTGAGACTGGGATCCAGGATTTCTAAACCAATGTCGACTTGGACGGATGCCTTGAATTCTTGAATTCTTGATTTCATATATTCCTATTTCCTACCGGCATAAAGGCTTCCAGAGAGCACATCTTGGAGATGCCCCAAGAAAAAGAGGGTTTGTGAAGGGACCTTACAGCCTCTCGAGAATTCAAAATCATGGAGATATATGTGGACATCTGATATTCCAGGCGCCCGTCTCTTGCCGACACAAAGGTCTCCATCCCATACTGGAGGACTCCTGCCGCAACAGGGGATCAATGGCGGACTTCTCAGCCTGTGAGTCCAGAATCATTTCTGTCACTGCTGGAGATGTCCAGCGAGATATCCGCCCCTGTCAGCGTATGTGTCAGCAATACATCTCTCGCTATCAAAGCCGACTCATCGTTTGGAGGGTGGCGCAGACCCATTCAAGTCGAGCTCGAAGAGATCTTCGATTCTCTCAAGCCGTCAAGATATCGATCGGATCCATCAGACCTCTCACACTGCTGGCGCATCTGACATGAGGTATTCTCCTGAACACCTGCTCACCCTCGGTCTTTTGCATAAAATCTTGCCATTCTTTGGTCATTATCCATTCCTCTCGAGCACCCTTATTCCGAAATTTCACGAGGAGCACGGTATCGTGGACGTCTCGAGAAATTTGGGGGTTCCGTTGGGAGAACCCCGGATCGTCTGGGATTTCCATGGGAAATGTCTCAAACTTTGTGATCAGTGGTGAATATGCAGCGTGCATGCCGATTCTAGCCAACATAGAGTCCAATCGGTGAGTGGGTCCGTCTATTGTTATCCCTCGCCGTACGAGGTCTCGGTCTGCTGGCTGGATGTTGCGCTTCATCTGAGATGCAAAGAAATAGAACATGCAGGTCAGGGGGCGTTCGGAGTCGGCAATTGCTCGTGCGCCACGCCCATCTGGGGTTCTGTTGGCGGCGATCTGCTCGCTGCGAGCGGTCCTTTGCAGAAGCATATTGACGGACAGTCCGATAGGTTCTGTGTGGTAATGACAGATGGCAAGCCAGAGAAGTTCGAATTGGGTCGAAAGGGCTCGAGGGAAGAGCAATGGTGTGCCGGCTAGCTACCCATGTTAATATTGGGTGCAACCATGATGGCTCTTTCATACAGCGGCAATTTGTTGTCCCCCGCAGTTTCGTAGCACTTCGCGGGGGCGAGGAGCAGCTCTACTAGTGATGACATGTCTGCAGGATGCAACTTTGAGCGCAGAAGACAGATGGAGCTTTCGTGGTAGTCGCCAGGGCAGAGATTTGGGCGCAGATTACCTCAATTGAGGTGTACCTAGGCGCCTACCGAGCTCAGTGTCCTGTCCTAACAGTCTATATCTCTCATCTCTCTCTGACAAAGGCCTCGATCGGAGAACCATGTTGCTATTCTTCTACGCCATTCGGCCAGGCGTGAGCTTTTCTTTACGGCCCCATTGGACTGTCGGCATGATTACAGTAACAAGTACTCCTGTACCTGCGCTGTCTGTGTTCGCTGCCCGCTCAGTCCATACCCCGCAAAGGCTGATCGCGGGGTAGTGTCCCTGGACTCCAAGTTTTAGGTGCCGTCTCCAACCTAATACAATGCCTAAGGCCTGTCGGCATCCACGGCTCTGGGGCTTGGGCTCGGGCTCATGCCTCTAAGCTCAGCTTGGGATTAGGGGCACCTAGAGGGGACTCTTTACAGTATTCGCCCACTGACTCGATGGCATTCGCGCCTCTTAACTGAGTGCGGTTTTGGTCCGCTCTCCGGTTCCCGAGCATCCAAGACGATCTTCTTCAATGTCACGTCACACATTATGACAACGGAGACGATGGTTGCGACGGTTGGGTTGCAGTTCCTCTCCACCTGCTTATAGACCGTCACCCTGCCTTTCTTGCTACCCACCAGCCTCTGTTACCTCGAACCTTGAGTGTGATGATAACGCCATGCGAGCGGTCTGCCGAACCCGTCCATTTCCATCCATATGGCCCTCCTTCCTCTCCATCCCACGGGTTCGGCGCGGGCTCTCCACAATAGCAAAGATAGAAGGGCCTCGTGAGCCTCCTCTCCTTGAAGAAACGGTAGGCGAGCACTTTGCGCAAATCGTATCTGCTCATGGCGATCGTCATGCTGTCATATCCAGACATCAGCAAAATCGCCTGACATACTCTCAATTGGATCTTGACAGCAACGTTCTGGCTAGAGGACTACAAAGCTTGGGGGTCAAGAAGGGTGACCGCGTGTGTGTATCGTTGGGCAACAACTTGGAATTTGCGACCATCACATACGCCTTGTTCAAACTTGGAGCTATACTTGTGCCGCTCAACCCAGCATTCTCAGCGTCCCAGATCATTTCAGCGTTCAACCATTTGTCTGCCACACATCTGGTCATCGGAACAGAGACCAATCTCCCTTACAAGCCGCCCAGGTCCAATGTGTCACTCCTGCAGTCTATCGTGCCAGATCTATCGAGTGCAACGCTAGCTTCAGAAGCAATTCCTTCGTTGAAGAATATCATCCTCGTGGACAATTCAGCAGGTCGCATTGATCCGGCCCCGTTTCGTGCGACTACTCCATGGTCCGCGCTCTCTCAGGACTCAGATGATCGACCTCCTGTCCCCTCATCTCCGCTGTCGAATCATGAGGTGGTTAATATCCAATTCACGTCGGGAACTACGGCCATGCCCAAGGCGGCGTGTCTGACCCATCGTTCTATACTCAACAATGGCAAGCAAATAGGGGACCGGATGCTACTGACCCCTTTCGATATCGTCTGCTGCCCACCGCCTCTCTTCCACTGTTTTGGTTGCATTCTCGGCTACATGGCAACAGCTACTCACGGTTCCGCCATACTCTTTCCTAAGGAAGCGTTTGATCCGACGGCCACGCTCAAAGCTGTACAGGAAGACAAGGCCACGGCGCTCTATGGAGTGCCGACCATGTTTCTAGCCGAACTTGAGCTTCTCGACGATGAAAAGGTGGCGTACGAAGGCTTTGAGCATCTGCGGACGGGTATAGCCTCGGGTTCGTCCATTCCTTCCGAACTGATGCGGAAGTTACACAAAACGCTCAACCTGACCGAGTTGACCATTTGCTATGGAATGACCGAAACCTCTCCCGTCTCTGCGATGACGACTACGGACGATCCAATCGACAAGCGGATCAATACAGTTGGTCGACTTCTGCCACACACGCACGCCAAGGTCGTCGACCCATTCGATCCGGATAGAATTCTCAAGAGAGGCGAACGGGGCGAGCTCGCCGTTCATGGGTACCTGGTCATGAAGGAGTATTGGGGCCAGCCAGACAAGACAGCCGAGGCCCTGAAAGCCGACGAGGACGGAAAGGTGTGGATGCACACAGGGGATGAAGCCTCCATCGATGAAGACGGCTACGTCAGCATCACAGGTCGCATCAAGGACTTGATCATCCGCGGCGGCGAGAACATCCACCCTCTCGAGATTGAGAATTGCCTCTTTGCAAACGACAAAATCGCCGAAGTCAGTGTTGTCGGGCTTCCTGACGAGAGGTACGGCGAAGTCGTGGCTGCCTTCATTATCCGCAGACACCATCTGCCACAGGGCGAAACACCTATAACGGCTGAAGAGGTGAGAAGCTGGGTTAAGAAACGCATGAGCCATCACCTGGTACCAAAATATGTCTTCTTTGTGGACGAATATCCAAAGACGGCGAGTGGAAAGATCCGTAAGTGGCTCCGGCAGTCATTTTTTTTCCTTCTAAGATTTCTTCCTGCGTTTATTGTTTGCCGAGCAGTGTTGCTCGCTTCCTTGATCGACCAGCAGTGTTGCTTGCTTGCTTGCTTTATTGTTTGCCGAGTAGTGTCGCTTGCTTCCTTGATTGACCAACAGTGTTGATTGCTTTCTTGCTTCCTTGATTGACCAGCAGTGTCGCTAACGTGTCGGCTTCACAGAGAAATACAAGCTGCGGGAAACAGGCACTCGTCTTCTCCAGGAGGGAGGTGGCCAGAGCTAGGCTCAGCCTTCACAAACATTGCCCCTAATCCAGACATCAGCAAAATCGCCTGACATACTCTCACCGTTTCGGTTCTTTGGGACAATATCAGAGCCAGGATATGGATGGGATGGGCCAGGATAACGTCCACCGCAGCACATTGAACGATATCATAGATCTATATTGGTTCAGTCCATACGCAGATGAAGAAACAAATCCAACGTGCTTGTTGCTTGGGCTTGTGCTTGTGCTTGTGCTTGTTCCGACCGACGTCCGGTGCCATCCCGTGACTATGCCTCTCTCTCTCTCTGCTCCTTTGGCAAAAGACTTCCTAACTTATCAGGCGGCCACCTGGACCGTAAAATTCATCCTACCTCATCTCAAACAAGACACTCCCAAGATCAAGACACTCCCAAGATCAAGACACTCCCAAGATCAAGACACTCCCAAGATCAAGACACT